GGTTACGTTACTGCTGTTGATATTGATGACAAAGGCTGTCGCAGACGAAAGTTCTCCTCTTTTGTTCATCCAGTCGATTAGGGTTGAGTGAAGGGGAGTTGTACTTTTGAGCTACCTAGTTGGTGGAACATGAGAGAGAGTTTTCATTGTTCTCTTATGGGACTTACCAGATGAGTGTTGTAAAAACAATAGTCCACATTGTTGTCAGCGTTACAGGTTGATGTGTACCAGCTATATTAAGCAACGCTGTTCTCAAACGTTCCTATTCCAAACATTTCCAGGAGGATTTACAAAAGAATGTGAACCATTCAGCGGCTCAAGTGCGCGAAGAGTTTGAGCAGGGTACGATTTCAAAGGAGAATAAAAGACAGCATGTGGATACCCTGACACTACCAAAGGGGTCCAAGATCCCGGGTCTGGACACAGTCCCACCTCCATCGCCTACGGGTAAGTTCTGTTCGCTTTTGTCGATTGAACTAAGTTCGATTATTGGAAAGATGCGTTTCCAACTGGCTGGTATCTCATCATTACCTATCACTTCATTAGGCTACAGAGCTGAGTTTGAGGCGAAGGCGGAAGAATTGTTAAACTGGTTGGAGAATTGCGCCGAGGCACTTGAACTGGTCACCATGGACAAGAATGGCAATCCCTTGGATACTCCTGGAGGGCAAGCGAAAATTTCAGAACGTAAAGTAAATGAAACTGAGGCTACAGCATCACCCGAAAATCCAACGAATGTTATCAACCGGATTTCCAGAGAGGTTGCGGACTGGCGTGAAACCATGCAAAAAGTTTTGACGATGGGTGAACGATACCGGGAGGAGTTGCTTGAAGGTCAGTTCGCAAGTATTACGAAACATTGGTAATGTGAGGTTGTGGCGTGCTATTTGATTCTATCGCTACATTTAGCAGTGATTGCTTACATGCTAAGTCGCAAACTCGGGATATACCATTAATGGGAACACCATTGTGGTGAAACACTGTCTCCGCCTTCGTGAGGAATAAAGATCGATTTCCATTCGATGATGAAGCTGTCTTTCACAGGATCCACTTAGAGCTACTTCGAGATTCACTATGCCTTTCACTTTTCACCTTGATAGAATTGAGTACAGGCAGAGACACTGGTATGCAGACTAGTAGTTACACACTTGAGGTTTATCAGTAATGGGTGCTTAGGTTAGGTCGTCATTATCAGCTTTACGAACCGCATACTTGTCGTACAGTCGTTGTAGCTATCACATTTTGGTTCACCGATGATGTGGGGAGGTGGGGTAGGTAGCTGCGCATTGGAAGCGTGAGCTGATAAATTGGTGCGTAAATACAGGACTTTCAATTGGAGGCTTGGGAAGGGAGCTATGCAATGGAGGCAATAGACTGGATGCACAACCGCCATTGAGGGCACGACTGGGCGATTTCTGACGTGTCTAAATATTGATGTATCCCGTCTCGGAGTCCCATCCAAGAGGACGGCAATGACCAGCGTAGTTACGTTTGCCGGCAATGTGCTTCATACTTCGCTGCCTAGTCATTTTTATCGTCAGCCTCGTTTGCACCCTTAGCGTGGCTGTGAAAAAAGAACCTGTCGAGGAAGTCGGCCGATTGGCATACGGAGCACGTTGTCAAGCCAGTGCAACCATCGAGGTGTGATCAATTCATCTATCGTGGGCGAGTTAACTCTTCCAAAAATCATTTGGCGCACTTCAGCATTGCTGATATGGTGTTAGCACCAGACTAAGGCAACCCTCCGAGGACATAGATGGTGAGACATTGAAAGCTTATACCACAGGTAACGCAGACTCGCAGAAGCCCCCTGGCCTTCCCAGTCTATATGGAAATATCATCACCTTCGACCAAAAAATCTGACTCATAGGGCAGTGCGAGGTAGTAGGGGACCCTGCCCAGAGCCGATGGCTCAACAGTCCGACCCACTTGGTTGCAGCGCCCGGCTAGGTCCGTGGAAGCAAGGAATAAGGCATTACTGTCTCACTTCTAATGCACCTGCGCACAGTAGGGTTTCTATTGAGCAGCAGCGGGCTCTTTGGTTTTAAAAGTACTTCGACTGTTGGGGTTCCCAAGACGGAACTTTGGGTGACGCGTAGGTTCGACAATCCTGAATATCAGAAGGAAAAATTGGGTTCGTAATTCTACGGTACTATTTACACAAGAGTAAGCAAACGTGTACGTGGCGTCTGTCTGTCACTGACCAGCACCGTTAAGTGTCAACGTCCGCAAACCAAGCAACGGCGAGTGGGATGGTGGCTCACTAGCGTGGGTTGTGGTCAATCCTTCCGACGACAGTCTCGTGATTCTCATTGGACGTGCCATTACACGGAACTCATGATAAAACGAGTCAAGACAGGCTCAGCAAACGGAACATGAACGCTAATGGGCAAGTAGGTCAGCAGCGCACATACACACAGACACATGTCAACACACAGTGTCGGACAGGACGGCCGCTGCGGCAAGGTGAGTGGCGGGTACGGATAAGCAAAACAACTGGAGATCAAAACCACAGTCGGAGTTAGCAAATGAATGGGGGAACTGACATAAAGTCCAGTTGGACTCAACATCGACCGTACTGAATATTGCGCCGGCGGTCACGGTCAACCGTTTGGCTTTCGGAGTGTGCGATTTTCCGGGCCGACCTTTTCTAACCCGTCCTTCCTCGGAGGAAGGCAGCATCGCTGCTGTCATAAATAAGGACATGTTGGTTGCCTAGTGGAAACGCCTTACCGCCTTCACACTTTTCTCACACAGGACAGTACGACTTTACCCGCCAGAGCGTCTCGTAGCACGATTACTCGTAGAGCGGGTCTCGCTGCTCTTAGTCTGACTGCTGTTCTTTGGCCTTCCTGGCATAGTTTCACCTTGTGGAACGAAGTTCCAGCCAGTGTAGCCGGCGGGATCATTGTGGCACTCAAGTCCAACCACCAGGTCAAGTGTCAGCTTTGAGTCGTTTTAGGTTAGGGTGAGACGTTTTCAAATCCTGATCAAAGGAGTGGTTGAAATCCTGTTTGAACTCATCATACCTAATGCCAGTTACGAACAACTCTAGAAGAGCATCAGAAGGGTTTGGTAAAGAAGCGGTAGTTTTCGCTTTTGACAAAAATCTTCATCAGGCCAAGTGCGTAGGTCACCAAGTTGGCAGGTCTTAAGGCAGTCGGAGAACCACTCAGTAAGACGTCTTCAGATTAGTGCACTAGATCAACGTTGAATGTCAATTAACAGTTTTCTTCGCTTTGTGTGTTTGCCTGAATCTTGCGCTGATGATTTGGGGGAGTTTCCAAATGGCTCCCATCAGGTTTGGTTCCTTAATCTTCTAGTTCGAGGTGCTTCAGTTGATGATTGACCGCGGGTGCTATTGGTAGATTTCGTCAGTATTCTTGGGCTTATGAGTGTTACGACAATTAAGTTGCGGGGAGTGAAGGTGGGTGAGGTTAAGAATCACGGAAATCTCGAATAATTCATGACAAGAATCTGACAACATTCGTACGGATCACTGAGTTCCCTCACAGGAATTTTCGGTAGCAGACGATGCATTTGGTATGGGTTATGTGGGACGGATGACCTTAATGGTCGGGTTTTTATGTTCTGCTTGAATCTCAACGGCAAGAGGATGGTTTGGAAAAGGCCGCCACAAACCACATTCCACAACATAACGGCGCTATCACACATGCTTCTTCCAATACACTATTCTCAATGGAAGGGGTTGGAGATTTTTCGACAGTCTGATCAAAAGAACCTCATCAGAAATCCAGTCCAGATTTTGCAAGATTATTAGTTAGATCACCTGTTACAAAAACGCCAGAAAGCGTTGGACCACCCTATGGTACCGTCGTTCGCAGCAAAACATTTGCAATCCAGTTTATATACTGGCAATAGGTGTATGTACGAAATTCTGACTGAAGTTTCTCATCCAGGGCAACCAACATGTTAGTTTTGGGGTCATAGGAATTTGATCTTTTTTTCATTTTCCTTGCTAAGACAACTTCAATTGGATGGTGCCTAAAAGTACGAAATTTTCATGAAAGAAATGCGACACCTCATCATCCTGTCCAAAAGAGTCATTCTCCAATCTTCGTATGGGAAAGTGTATCACCATTAGGTGTACTAAGATGCACACATCAGTCATGTTAATCAGTCGACGGAGTCAAATTTCTGGCTCTTTAACCTCACTCTATCCGACTGAAATTGGTTTCTTCTTTACGACTGTAAAAAATATTACTTTCACACACGGTTCATCGCTGTTGAAGCTTACCGGGCGACAAATAAGTTCCATCACTTGACAATAAAGTTCAGTTTAAAACAGAAGGTGTTGAACATGAGGACATCAGGATGGAAATGTTTCTTTATTTCATCACAATTACGGATCCCTGTAGGCTTATGAGTTTATCGGGCGCATACTGGGATTAACATCTAATAAATTCGCATATGAACCTGGAGCTCCTTGAGAGTAAAAAAGCAACTTATTAACACTATTAGATGGTTAACGAATTTGATGCGTACGTTCACTTGGATTATTCGAAATTTCGGCTGACATCTGTACATTGACAGTAAGGTGGGACATTTGAGCAGAATAATATAGTCATATTATCAAAGACTGGCTCACCTTCTATCTTGTGATGCTGTTAACCTAATTCAACCAGTCTGGATCTCCACACGACCGAGATCCAGTTAAGCAGTGTTTTCTAATCTGGGATAAGCAAGACTTTCACAGAGACAGGAGGCATTCCAAAGGGTGCCAGGATATCTCCTGATTCAAAAATATTTCAAGAAAATTTGACGAGCTAATTTAAATGCCATTCCTATGAAGATTAAAAAATATTTCCCATTAATCCGTTTAACAACGGTAACAAAACTACATAGTTCGTTGAATGACGAAATTAAGTTTTCTTCTTATCAGTCACGTACCGAAATAGTCAAATTACAGCACAAAAGAGTAAAATAAGTTGACGGATAGGGCCAATCAGTTCGTGAACTAGCCGGATCTATTATTTTATCGCCAGAACTAGTTAGTGGCGCATTGCAAAGTATTCTTTGTGCATAGACTCGGGTGACAGTTGCTGATCAGCATGGCTTCACTAAACGTCAGCAGTATTTCGAAGTATGGTTGGAGTCTCCGTAGCAACATTCTATTGAGCAAAGCTGTTACAATTTTACCACGAATGGCGATAGCTGACCGGTACTGAACACGAAAAGTCTGTGTCTATTGATTCATAGGTCCATTGTGTCAGACCGAGTTTGAACTAATCTCTGCCTCCCGTTTTGCAGTGGGTGAATCTGTTGAAGAACTGGATCAACTTTTCGACGAAGTCGAAGAACGGTGGGCGTATCTTACTTCGTTGTTAACTGAAGCCGAGCGTCAAGTTCGTGTTGCCACAAACAAAGCCCAATTTCATGAGGAAGTTTCCAAACTGCTCAGTCGACCTCAAGAGGAGGCGGATACTGGTCCGGTGAAACTTGATAACGTTGCAAATGCTTCAGCCAAGCTACCATCAGATGTTATAGCTCATCCAGCAGAATCCGTCACAGAACGTGAGTAATACTTCGGAGAAGTGCACATCTGAAGACTTTTTAGTTTTACACTCGCGATTTCGTTACTAAATTCCACGCTCACATTCCATGCTTACACTTCCAACCTTACATATATATACTTTGCTGCGACTACCGCAAAACAATAATGTATGAGTAATGTTTGACAAAGCAAATGAGATTTTTTGAAGGAAATTACTCACAAGGTTGCGAAAAACTGTTCAACAGTTCACTATTGGCTTCGCCCTTCTTGGAACCCACCAGGTAGGTACCATTCCCGAATTCCTGTTAGCCCTATGTCCTACCTGAACCCAAATTGCACGAAATTGCACTCGGAAATACACTCGTTTGCGCACCCATTTTGTTTCAACGGGAGATTCATTTGAATTCTAGCTGAAACTGTCTGTGTGACATCATTCAACTTGATTTGCGGCAACCGTGTGAGTAGTTTCTTCACTAAGATATACCGCGATATCTCGAATATCGTGCCAACTTAAAGAAGAGGTGGTCTGTACTCAGCACATTTGTTTGAATAATATTACAAATAAAAAAGATCCAGCTGGGATTCAGTTAAGTACCCCTTTTGAAACCAAACTGATATGCAAATGAGTGCACTTCGCCATTATGGGGTTCCATGTTGCTCAGATTTCCAAACTTACCAAGCAAATATCAGGGCGATGCGTGTTTCACCTGAGTTTGTGCAGATGCAGATAAATCCTATCATTCATCAACAACGTCTTGAGCTTGAATTAGGATTCGAACAGTTTTTTTCTTGTACTACTAAGTAAATTTAAAACTGGGTATTTTACGCAAAAAGACCAGAGAACATCAATCCTACCATAAGTTTTCCAGTCAAATATGACCACATGCCTGTGCAGCAGCATTCTATATCCCAAAAAACGGCGAATCAGGTTCTACTCAACGGGGTAGAATAGTGACTTCAGGTGGCCTCATCTTAATTTACCCAACCTACACAGTAGACGCGCAAAATTCTCAGCGTCTTTTAGGATAAATCAAGGTTAAATTGGATAATTTTTTCACAGACCAAATGCATCACGCACAATTTATTTGGAAGTAATTGAAAATGACCCGAAATCCTTTAGTCCAGTTGGTTTGTACGTGTCATATCTAACTGATGTTCCGGCTCCAGTGCCTAGTGCCAGAAAAAGATTCGCCGACAAGGAACACATTTGCCTTATTGCTGATAAGTGAGTGCGTGCAAGTTCAACGGGCATTTGGGCGGTTTATTATAGCTCGCAGTGGACATAACCATTTGTCTATCAAAGTTGCCAAAGCATGGCCCCCATTCGAAGGTAAACTGACATCAGCCCTCATCCGAACCTACACAGCTGCTCATTTGGGACAAATTTTGCCTGTTCGTTCAATTCCTATTAAGGCCCCTCTGTTGGACTTAACGTGCCGTCGACTCCTGGCCCTAATACTTTGTTCGTCTTCCTAATTTGTCCATTATAACAGTTTACTATAAACATGATTAGGTGGTTGATGTGGGGACTGCTGAATGACTGACGTCTTCTCCGGTGTCGGTAAAACACTACAGGGGGACACAATACATCGGTATCCCCAATGATCCTCGTGGGATGCGTGCAGTCAGATATAAAAACCACCTGATTAACAAAATATCCATAGAGCAACAAGATTCAAGAGCAGTGTATTATTGAGGGACTCAGCTAGGCAGATGAAGGCCATTTGCATTACATTCAAGGCAGGGGACTTAGAAGGACAATAAATATGACGAATCAAGGAGTAGCGGACAATACTACTATTATGTAGTGAATTTGTAGTGGTAAACCCGAACCGTGAAGTGTATGAAGCCCTATAAGGAGACTAGCAAGTGAACCAGGTGGACTCGAAATTTCGTTCTTAGGTGGACTATGCTAGTCGGCAACTCATGCCGTCAGCCTTGTCCGACTCAGGAAAATGATAAGTTGGATTTGAAACACTTTACTCAATATACAGAATATAAGGTGATAAGAATAAACTGACCGAAAAATTCGATAAAAAGGTGAAATAATCTTCTAGTTTCGCTCGAAATTGTAACAAAACATACATTCTTCGCTGTGACAATCGTTTTTGGAAACTTCCTCCGTCAAGTACAGGTTCGTGATTTCAATGTTATCCGTCTTCTTCAGACTTGATAGTTTGTCCTGTTTTACTCACTTCACAAATTCAAACACAAAAGTCAAGTAATCGTTCAATCGACCATTTGTTTGAAACGACTGCTAGCTCAGCTGTTTTCATCCTAATTTTTTGGAACGGACTTCGGTGTTCTGGGTGACAAAACCTCAATGATTATAGATTGCTTCCACTACTTGCCATCAGCTCAAAGAAGTATTGGATTTGCTCAAAATGTCTTATTTCAAAATTCATTCTTTAAAACAATTTTGTCGCAGAACTGCTTTCGAAAACCGAACAGCTACATAATCAATTATCACGTGTTGAGGAGACGCTACAGGAGCCGTTGGTATTCGCTAACCCGGACGACCTTGAGGACCAACTTCTCAATGTGAGGGTAAGCAAAAAGTTATCTAGATTTGGAACTGGCTGGAATGTAGCATGATTTTTCTCGCTTCATATAGTTTATCATTTTGTTAACTTGTAGCGATCGTGCTGGGTGAGTCAAAACCGAGAAAATTTGTCATATATTTACCTAAGAAAACCCAAACATTTCAAACAAAATTGATTCATAAGGTTAGATTCGGATGCGGCTCACTAATGTCTGTTTCTTAAAATCACTTTTCAATGCACTCGCAAATTTTAAAGAACTACACTAAATGTGTTTCGTACCAGGCAGCAATCTGCCTAAGTAGTAGAGTGATAAAACCATTTGGGATAAATCTATCCAGTCAGTGGCCATGACCGGGGCGCTCTAATCGACCGAGTGGTGCCAAGCGGAGCCAGATACCATTGAATGGGCTACTTAATGACCAATAGTGCACGGTGAAAACCTTCGGGTTTCCTAATATCATCCTACCAGACAACTCAAGGAGAGAACCCTTCAGGAAGTGTGGACTGATTACCCTTTGCGAATCCTTACTCTATCCTAAACATCTAAATAAGTTTCTGAAAACGCGCTTCACTCCTAAACGATTTCGTGGGATGTCAGTTGAGGGGCACAATGTGTTCAGTACTCAAGTGGACGCAACTTTTATGACCACTCGACATTTGTATTCTAGCCATCAACCATCTACATTTTTTGTGGAGAATGATGCTCGCTGTCGTAGAAAATTAGTTCAAAACAATGTTGACAAAATACTTAGCTAGGCGAGTTTTTCATGTGCCAGGTGTATACACATGGAGCCTACATTATTCGGAAAATTCCGTTTTTGTCTACCCACCTGGTCTATCTTTTGATCACACTGACGTCCCGCATTTTTTCCACAGAACCTCTTGGAAGACCTTTTGGATGAACATTCGAAGCTCAGTGAGTTGCTGGAGAAAGTGGACACAACAAAAAATGCTGACTTGGTCGGTCGTACATCTGTTGCTATCAACAGGCTCAAATCTGCTTGTGCCAGTTTGAAGACTCGACTGGGTCACACACAAGATTTGAGTGAAAAGGTGGACTTCTTCATGGTAGGTGTGTGAATCTGCCATTTAGGGACGTCCAGTCCCCCTGAGTCAGAACTAATGTGAATCGCAAAGCTTCAGATATGGTCACACTAATATTTCCCATTAGATCTGGCCGGACAAAATTTCAGGAACAAATGACTGCTTCTTTTTTTAAAAAAAATACAAGTCTCACGAGCGTGTAGAGATACTATGCTCTTTTCCAGTATACCAATTTACAAGCAACCATTTACTAAACACATCCTAACATTTACCTGAATATTCTAAAAGAAGTCATTTGCTTCAAGAGATGTAGACCAAATATCCACGATAACGTGGAGCTCATGGACCGATACGGCGGGACTTGATGGCGGCAGCCTGTGAATAACTATTTGACCCGTACTACTCCAAAGCTGGCTGAAAACGCTTCGAAGAAGAAGTTATAAACTGGAGATTCAGTCGGGTTTCCCTCAAAAACTAACTTGATATGCAGATGAGCATGTTTCGCCAAATAAATCATCACCCATTCCAATAAGGAGGTGAGATGGCCCAAGTGGTTAGAGCACGAGTTTACTGTCCGGGAGGTCCGTGGTTCGAAACCGACCTCCACCTCTCGACTTCCCCTGTCTGCGCTTGGGCAACCTGAGATTATCCCAGCCCTCGTGCAACCTTCGGGTGGCATGGCAGTTAGGTACCGAAAGGATGCTATAGCTGAACGCAACAACAACCATCTTAACAAGTGACCTAATAACAATCATGCTGTGTTTGACTGAAATCAAATACAATACGTGATCAAATTCCTGGAGCTACACTATCCAGTGTAATTCCAGAATTTTCTCTTGGGCATTTCGTCCCGTAAGTGAAAGGCGGAGAAGCACTGTAGATGTCCAACCCCTGCTTGGAATTATCAGGAGTGTCACGAAACCCCAAGGAGTTCCCAATCCGCGACATCCCGGCTGATCGTTTGAACACTTAACCGCTCAGCTACTGACAGTGGACCAGCAATGTGGTTAGCTAGCACTTAGAAAAGATAGAGCATACGTTATCCTTTAGTCACGGAGTCCACATGACGTATTGACTGCTCCCTCAATGCATAGCATCTAGGTTAGGAGCTTTGCCCGACTTGTGAAATGATTCTTCACCTCAGCTATTTATAAATGATCGATAGTGTGAAAAAGATCTGGAAAATTTTCAGTATCCATTTAAAAAAAATCCGAATATCCTCGCTACTAATTCCAGGATTGTCTATGCCTAGTTCACCACTAATACAATGTTCAAATGCCTATCTGTAGAACCAACTTGAAGGAATCGAGAAGTGGCTGTCCGATATGCGGGACTATCTGGATTCTGTGTCACATGCTGTGCTGCCCTCGCCCACCGTGATTCAGGCTCAAATGCAAGAGAGTTTTGAAGCACTCAAAGATATGGAGACCCTGGAGCCGACATTGCAGAAGGTTAGCAATACAGCCAAACACTTACAAGCCTATTTCAAGGAGGAATATCAAAAGGTGAGCGGCACGAATGTTGATGTACACAAGATTTAGGCGAGCAGAGTTCTAAAACAATTGCTTGACTAGGAACGAATTAATTGGTTTGAATCAACCCACCAAATTAGAGGTAATTCAATGTGGACCATGAGATCACGTTTGGGCATCTCTAACTGCAGTCGGATCCTAATCACGCCCTATTTTTCAAGTCTGGGTCACTCACAAGAGCTCCTCCAGTGTGGTCACACCCCCGAGGCTGTCCATGCGTAATTGCTCTTGTTAGACCACAGTGAATTTCCGATACCCTTGAATCGCGCCCTCACTGGAACGCACCTACAGTGTACACATCTGGCGATCACACCTTTAGCGACCTTGACGCCACCTGGCTGAGATGTCCAGTCAGCCAGGGCCGCTCATTGGGTCATGTTTCGACCTATTGAGTGAACCAATCATATCCCTCGAACGGTCATGCACTGGCTGACTCACGGGCATCTATCGTACACTGATGCAGTAGTGGTAGCTCGCCTGCACTGCAAACCAAGTGTTTCTGGTCCAACTGCGCCTGGTGTAAACTAGTCTTCACAACCTAACTAGGACTGAAGGAAATCTGCTGGTGGAATAGTGGTACGAACATGGAGTGAAAGAATCCCTACACCATATTCAAGCAAAAGGGATGACAACTGTATTCGACTAAGTACGAACGTCGCTCAAGCAGTAAGATTTTACTGCTGCTCATTTGCAACAATGTACAGATCGATGACCTTCTTATGCATAGTAAACTGTACGTGAATACAACGTACCTTAAAAATGCTAGATGATACGAAGATATTTTTATCAGTTGCATCTGCTGTGATGCAAAGGTGTGGATTGCAGCTCCGCTTGATTGGATTCAGAGCTATAATATTTTCGAATGGCATTGTTGGCCATGAAATAACCATAATTTGCACCCTGCCATCACAAGGCAATTATATTTACACGTTTTCTGACTGTTTTAGTGACGACCATGATTGCTGAGCTTCACAATTCGGGTCTGTCTACACTGTTGTTTTTTCCATGTAGTCTTGCTTGTTGTCCTCGATTGTGATGTCTGTCGTTGATAAATGAAACATAACTATCCAGGACTCAAATGTGGCTGCAAAGTGCCTTTAGGACACGCTCATACCATAACGATGGGTCGTGACCTTGAGTGCCTGTCGGTTGCGCTAGATGTTCGGAAGCTAGTGGAGGTGATTGATTCTGGTAATTCAGTTGAATCACACCTCCACCCAAGTGTTCGCGAAATTAAGTCGGAGGCTTGCGTTCCGTTGATCACTGATGCACACAGTGAATCATTCCTGATGCATTTATAAACATTATCAATGAGAACATCGTTTTCGGCCACAATGTGCGACCTCAAGCCAGCTGCTTTTTTCAGCAGATTCACTCAGCTGACCAGGCGAATGTTGATAGCCCGTCCAAAGGATCTCCATCTTTAAACACTTTCTTCACGCTCAACAATAGAACACACATCTCGGTACCTCATTTCGGGACACACATTTTAGTATGCCTTTCTAGTATCTCTATGCTAAACGTGAAGATATATGGAGAGACTGGTGTTTTTGTGTGGAGTGGGGTTGATGCTGAGTCCGACCAGTAGCCTACACTGCGTAACTTTTATGGCGAATGACTCCTGTGGATTGGATTCAAAATAAGACCATACGCGCATCTGCGTTGCTTTACTGAACAAAGCAGTTAAGCTTTCATCCGCCGTACAAATCGCCCTGAAAGGCTGCTTCTGGGACCAATAGCTGTACACCGGAGTTTCGACTTGAATCCCCAGGCAATGGATAGCCACCCTTCTCCAGTCACCGAACGGGTGTTCACAATCTGGCTCGGAAAATTTAAGTGTCTGTAATATGGTATAAACATGGTATAAATATGGTATAAACAGTCACGCCTTCATTTTGGAAAGGAATTGGTGGATCCTGCAAAGTGTAATAATACTCTTCAGGCTGTTTCTTTCGAAAAGGTGGAAACTCATTTATTAGGTGTCATCAGAACGGATAAATTCTTGATTGGAAGAACTTGATGAATCGGGCAACGTCTAGCTATGGTGCTCTTGTGCACTGATATCGGTCTTGTAATATCGTCCATAGCCTCATCCCCTTTCACTCTCCGATCAATAATTCTTGTGCGACAAAATCACCCTGGTGTATTCCTCCATCCTGATCAGACTGCAAAGAAGATTTTCATTTATGGAAAGGTGATTACTAAGAACACGAGGGCTTAATAAACACTACCTTGAGGAATTGCAGTAGATTTAAGTTAGAATTTCCTTACGACGGTAATCATGGTTCGGTATTATATGCAAAACCTGTTCCTTGATATAACAATCAGGTTATTATCCCCGGTCCAATATGGGTACACAGTTGTGCACCAAACTTGAACCAGGTAAACCAATCAACCATTATATTTCGAGACAACGACCACCCTTTAATTTCAGTTAACAAATATTTAATGGTAAATATATATGAAAGCGCAGTTTTTGAAAACCAAAGATATGTTCACTTTTTACGTCACCATCCTACACGTGTAAGAACCTAAGACTGAGGTGGATTAAAGGATCACTGCAGAGGTTGGTCGTGTGATGAACTTACGGTGAATGCGGTTAGTTCGTCTTATCCAGTAGAAAACGTTTCTTTATACAAGAAGCGTTCAGAACTCACTTTGATGAACAGCGTCTGACTGATTGCGGAATCATGAAGATCTACGTAGAAGCACCAGCTTAAATCCGATTCGTTCCTAGTGGCTCACCTATGGGTACTGTAGCAGAGGGTTCGTCGTACATGCCGCGGTCACCTATGCCGCTCCAACGGCATCATCTAAACCGTTATGAGCATGCCATCCGTGTACCGGAAGTCGTACTAAGAAGGCAGGCGTGATCACACGGACTCGTTTGTTCTAAATGGTCCCCAATGTTTCCTCTGTCTGGTTCGCACATACTCAAGTAACCGTGAAACAACCGAATCTTTTGCTGCAAAGGATACTGCAATATCATTTGTATTGATTTATCTCCCGTATATCTTCTAAGCAGTGTACAAAAATAACCGCTCCATAAACTTCGTGTTAAAAATCCGTGGAGTTTTTTCGACTATTTTTTTATATGTTGTGTTATAAAGAGATGTCTTTTCAGTCCGGAATGAACCAAAACCCTCCTCGTTTACTTTTATCAACATCAAACAACTAGCTTCTCGCCGACCGATTAGTGTCAGTGCAAGCAAACTGGGACGAGGTGAAAGAGTTGACAAAGTCTAACCGTGAGCATCTGGAATCACTTTTATCAACTAAGTCTGCCGAGACACCGAGCACTCAAGGTCGGTTGACAAATCTGGATGCTTTGGAGCAAACAACTTCGGTCAACAAGCAACTGAGTCTGCCGGAATTAACCGTTCAACCAGTTAGTGTCATTGGTGTGGCCGCGGTTCCCACGAATGAACCGACGCATCTGCAGAAGTTACGCGTTGATGTGGATGAGTTGGAACGTTGGATGACAGAAGCCAAAGAAAAACTGGCTAAATTTGCAACGGTTGAAACACAGACCGAGTTGACTGCAATGGAAAACATTATCCAGGCAAGTTATTGAGCGGTATCTTAATGTTTTTTTCCACTTCGTTAGTTAATTAGTTAGTTGACAAAGGGGTCGGCTGTATGAGAAATGAAGTCATCTAACCGTAGAAACGTCACGAAAAAGGAGTGAGGTTATCCCATCTTTACCTTAGATGCAAAAGAGGAAGAAACCAAGTGTTTCAAGTTGTTTTTTACTCAGCTAGATTTGTTAGGCTTTTCTCAACCTTCTTATGCCAATAACGAGTCTTTGTCAAAGAGAGGTCAAGTAAGACGGCAACATACAGAACGGAATTTTGTTTAGATCGCGTTTGTGGTATGACTTCAGTGATCACTAGCAGAACCGACAAATGATATCGGTCTGAAAGGAGAAGTGTGCAGAAAATATCGTAATGCGGAAACCTTCGTGTGCGAAGAAGTACCTAGTTGTATAATTTCATTTATCATCTAGCTGCAAGTAGATCAACATGTTTGTTGACATTGGCCTTAATTCGCTATTAGTACACTGGCCGGCATTCGATGAATTCACTCACACACGGTACTAAAAATAATCGTAATGGATGAATGCGCAGATGCGGTAGCCGGTAACCAACCGGGAGTTCATTATTTTCTCGTGTCCCCCCGTTTTTCACAGAGTTGAAGGGAGTCGCTAAGGGAGTATACTATGTTTTCAGTCACTGGTTATCCTACCATAACCAATTTTTGTTCAACGACCCTTATACAAGCTCGCCAGACACGATCTATTGTAGCGTGCCGCCACTTGACGGAATCTTCACCAGACGTTGACAATTTTGAAAGACAAACGAGTTCTTGGGATTAGTTTCAACACATCTGGAATTCCGATCGAAGGTCAGCAGTTAGTCCTACGATATAAAAGGTTCAGTAGGTCACATCGCATGAGGGGCTGATTCACGTGATCAAAACAGTGATAGCAAACAAGGGAACGCTCGTGACGATTACAATTAAAAATAGGCGAACAGAATTCGATCAGAAATAGGACCAAAGTGGTCGATGCTGTGCTAAACTTAATGCGATATACGTGAGAAGATCAATAAAACAGTGGCGTTATGTGAGTACGTGTCCAGTTAAATGTTCTCTTCTTCTAAGTGAGTATTCTGACAAAAAGGTAACTTACTTGATAGTCATCGGGTTAGCAGCATAGTCAGTGTGTAAAATCTATCCGGCTTTAGCACATAGGTAGTTGAGCCTACTCAAGCGAGACGATTAACTGATAAGTTTATTATCGAGTAAAGAATTACTTGCTCTAGAATGGCAGTGCTTCCAAAAAGCACAACAAATTTCACACCTAGTGATAATCAATCCGAGTCAGTGCAATATTTTGAACGTCAAATCTACTCATGAAGGGTTGTATAGATGAGGATACACTCAAAACTGGTTAATTTATGTAATTTACTCCTATAGTTCCTTGAGATTCACTTCAGATCTCACTGTTTAAAAGTTACAGCGAGTCCGCAGGCGATCCTACTATCTTTGAGGCTCTTCAAATAGTCATAATCTCCGGATTACAACTGCACTTTCACCTTACCAACAGGATCAAGGAGCGTTGCGTTCATATACTCGATCAGTTTTGACAGAAGGCTTAAGTCAGGCTCAAATGAAACCTTTTTTATGTTCTCAGACCTAATAGGCTGCGAAATCTGAGTCTAGGGTTGCATCTGAGGCGATGTTTAAATTGTGGAAGGATACTTATTGTGCGACAGATAAACATTTTCCAACAAGTCGCTCACGTTTATGTCTAACTCAGGGTTACTTAATTAAACACAATCTTATCTTATCTACTCATAAGGTTGCTGAAAATCCATCGACAGCCCACGACCGGTTTCGCCCTTCTTGGGGCTCATCAGGTAGGCGCAGTCCCCGGGTTTCCGTCAACCTTATGTTCTACTTCTTCTTTTCATCCTAAATACGCTTTTTCTCTCGGGCTCACTCGGGATGAATTCAAGATGATCACCAACGGCACTACTGGTCAACAACAATTTGCTCATTGTCGGACATGAGGGAATTTACTAGAATGGTATTGTGCGACTCGTGATTTGAGAAGATGTTTGCAACATTCTTGTCCATAAATATGGATCCGCCCATTCTTCAGGACCCTTATTCTGCAAAATGCTTAGTATAATCAAGATCATCCGAAACAAATGACGTTAGATCATGGAAGGAAATGTTTCTGGCACTGTATACACAGTTTATGCTTTGGAAAATGGTCCGATATCGTGTAAATGAACTGAAAACTAGGGGCAGCAACCGATCGTTCGCACACATCCATTTGTAAATCCGACTGTCTGGAAGGGGAAAACAGAACAGACTTCACTCCTCTAGGCAGACATGTGGTCATTCCCGCGAGTCTCAACAACCTGCGTACCAAAAATGGCGTCCAAACGCCAAACGCCCCGCTGTGTTCGGCTACGAATAACCAGGTTAGGACTGGCTACAAGTCGCGTGTAGCAACCACATCAATGGTAGCATGGTAACGAAGTACCGTGCCCACGTTCTCACGTGTCCTGGAACGTTGTCAGCCAATTGTGACAAAACCACCACTGCGATGCCTGCTGAAAGAAGGTGGTGTGACAGCAAGCGCGCCCTGGATGGCATGACGGCTATGCAGTTAGAGGAAGCTCGACGGGCCGACCCAATGTCACACAGTTGACACATCGACGTGATTGCGAGTACCTCAAGGCAAACTGATGCGGTGACTGCCGTGACCGACACACCATGCAACACTTATCACTATGGCTTTGCGCAGCTAAGATGTGCTGTTTTGTTTGGGGGGGGGGGCTATATGAATAGGTACATATGGTGAGACGACATAGTAACATGTGCGTGAGCAGTGCACTCAGGATGGCAATGAGGCTAAGCATAGTTTCAATGCAACTACTGACGAGTTCCTACAGTGGCGAAAGTTCCCATACTTATCAGCTTTTTGAGATCTGATCACCACTTTTTCGATACCGTTTATTTAGGTGGTTGGTAGATTAACAATTACCAGGTCCTCATTGAGGATCCATGATTATTACTATTGACAACTGGTAAACTTATTTGGCGGAAATTCGAAGATCCATCATTTTGCTTCTCAGGCAAAGGCTATCGAGCTTGACTACCAGCATTCAGTAGCCATCGTAACATAAAAATCCTTCAAAAGGTAGAGTATTGTGCGAAAACTGTCATGTTCGGTGCCTCTTTTTTGCAGTGCTTTACAGGTCTGTCTGTATGTTTACTTTCAGACGCTAAACAATGGGATCTCAGAACGTCGCTACATCCTCGCTGCACTGGACACCCACACCGCGGTTAGCATGACAGATCAGCCACTGTCAGACACAGTGTCTCTTCTGACACGCGCGCATTTTGCTGACTTGGAATCTGCTGTTGCAGCAGAACGAGAACGTCTCCGAGGAGCAATATATTATCTGGAAGATTTTACTAGTAAGCATTCTTCTTTGATCATCAGATGAAACTAAGATGAAAACCTTATTCTCACGATATCTTGCGCGATCAGTTTACCAATAATTACCACCTACTAATGTCAGGTATCTGTTGTCCGCAACATGTCAATGACTACGCACCAGTGACTTTTCAAAAACGTTGAGTACATATATTATATTCCAAATACGTAGTGTACAGTCACTTTTCTGTTAATTGAATCGGCTTCCACAATCCTTTATCTTGGGTGCGTTGGAAATCCAATCAGCATTCGGTTACCAACGTCGTGGCTCGTGTTGATATTTTAGGCCACGGGAGTACTTTTCACTCCCCTACTTTCTTGTCCTTAATTGTTCTTAACGAATTTCCGCCTTCTGTTAGCCACCTTCCATGCATGTTATTATAGTGGGCGATTTTGCCTGTCAAAGAAAGATTTCTAATGATGCAGAGGTAGTCATCGTTCGTAAATCTCGTGAGGGAAACTCTCAGACGTTTCTTGTGAACTCTGGCATAAACACATTGCCTATCAGTAATTTCTCAGGCTACATCCATAGCACATGCTGAAGAGGTATTTTCCACCATGAGGTAGTAACAAAAACCTAACACCTGATTCCCATCAATGTACGTTGTTTGTGCGTCTGTTTAACCAACATGCAATACTTGCTTTTCATAGCTTTGATGAACGGTGAATCGCGTTGGTTCGATTCGGTTTCTCAACTTATGGAACGACTGAAATCCGAAACATATGCTGATTTACCCGAATTGGCGGAGGATCTTGAGGTGAGCAGAGTCCTTTCTGGCAGATGTACTCGGGTCGGTTTAGTTTCTATATTAGATTCAGCTTCTTATGTTGCCCACTGACATCTTGTCTACCATCTTATCAGTCACTAAATCGGTTATCCGAAGAGCATTCTGCTGAAGATGAGGAACGTCTGAACAGTTTGGCCAAGTCACTTTCGTTAGCAAAAGTGATGAGTCATCACGTTCGAATGGAGCTGGAGGCGTACAACAAGAAACTGGCTGCCACGAAGGATCAAGTAAGTGTGTCAGTGTGCATCAAATGGACCTGCTTTTTGTCTCCCTAGGTCGATCTCATCTCAAGAGTGTTGTGAGCAAAGCTGTGCTGAGTAGACACTTTGTTGTGGGCTCTACACAGTCTCTACGCAGGCTGTCATCAGTGGTGACTACTCTACTAAAACTGCATGGGATCAGTTTATCTAGACCAAAAACGGTCTCGATCAATGAAGACGATTTAGTACGTTGTGGTGATCAGTTTGGTATCAAAACATGATGGTGTAGATTAGGTAACATGAACCGAGCTTTTGGTTTCCACCTCTTCCCGGGTAAAAGTCTATCCAATTTCCAACCGTTTGTGACCATCTTTTTATTCAGCTCAGAGCGTTTGTTGAAGATGCTATCAGTGGTTCGGGGTGTGTGTATCCGAATTGAAAGCGAACAAGCTTATCCATATCATGAAGTCAGGTAGTGATATTGTAGTTGTTATCTAGACTCAGTCGTGAAGGAAAGAAGTAGCTGTATAAAGTGCGTACGCTCAACACAACCAGTCTCAGGATGACTAAATACAACATTTAGATCGCAAACTGAGCCAGTCGCGCTGGCCCTTAATTGTAGCTAAGTTCAGCACATATGCGAGATGCGAGGGTTTACAAGAAATCTACAGAGGTCAGGTCGTGTTCCACCAATGCAACTTACGAACTTCCGGAATTTTCAGTACACACTTAAGGTAAAATCATGGTAAATCACTTCACTGTTTCATTTACTTATACAAAGATTTCTTATGGATTGAAAATGATGGGGATGAAGAAATCACCACTTTCGATGCTAGACCTTGCTTGTACAGGGGTGTGTCACTTTATGACTGCCCATCTTTCCTTCACTCAGTTTTAAATAATGATGACACTTGCCCACAAAAGCACTCCTTTTCTGACGGAAGTAATCTCTTCCTTTCAGTCGGAATGCAATGGTTCTCACCTTCAGAAAGGCACTCTACAGCCTTATAAATAGTGTCGCTATGGACCTTCACTTTGACCCACCGTTGATACTATTTTCCTATAGTGTTTGGAAATAAATGTCTCTCGAGCCCAAGTACCCGCGTGAAATGTGTTCATGAGGTGTTTGTGATTTCTACAGCTTGTCAAAAACATTTGTCCTCGAAATCTCTGAACAGCTGGCACAGTGGCATCAAGATTATATTGGGATCCGAAAGTGATGACAGCAGTATAAGCTGTCTATACGGGAATTTTTGGGTTACGTTCGTAGAGGAAACCTATGTAAGACCCAGGTAGTCCAAAAAGATTGGCAACATGGAACTTCTACATCTACATTGTATAAAACGCGCATTCATTGAAAAGTAATGCATTGCAAGAGAAACAGTTATAGCAAATCATTAGCTGCGCAATAATTGATGAAAAAGCTCTAGAAAAGCGAAATTCAAACGTTTACCTTCTCAGTCTCTGTTCGTCGGCGTTTGAAATAATCGTGGTGTTCGGAAAGTACATTTGGTGTCCGTCTAGTGATGCCTCAAGTGACCGAAAAAATGGGTCTGAAGCGCTGTCAAGTAAGCTGGTCTGATAGCGCGAGTCACATGACCAAGAAAGTTTCAGGGTCCGCACCATTCGCTTTTCCGACTCACCACGTCACGTCCATTAGATGTCTTGTGATTGCTTCATACTTTGCCCATGTCACACCTTTGGTTCAATACTGATAAGGTACGCGATACTATGCGGATGAACTGAAATGACTTGCTTGTGTTACCAAGGCCGGAATATTTAGACTTCTCTTTGAAAGTACCCTTCCTGTCTGAGATGGTCTGCTGTGACACTGTGCTACTACGTACCGCCAGCCCGACGAATAACTCAAAACATATGTGTATCTTTTTTTGGTCTTATTATGATTGATACCACGTTACACCTCAAACGAATCATGGAAAAGAACATTTATCCTTCTCTTGCATCCGTAGTCATTCAAGCCAAAAGGTGAAATTTGATGACTAGAGAGTTGAAACATTATGGTATCTTTCAAGGAAAACTCGGTTTTAGTCAGTGCCAAGGATGTGCGCTTTTCATGGGTAGCCCTGTGAGTAAACTGCCCTGCTGGAATTTTCCACATAGTGGCATGAACTGCCCACTTCTTGGTGAAGAAATATTGTATGGATTAAAATAGCAGCTGACCCAGTAACAAATGTTCTTTTCAGATGGACCGTGTCCAAAATGACCTTAAGTCTATCGTCGACTGTGGGCAGCGTGCTGAAATGAAAACGCAGGAGTGGGAAACACTCTTGCTCAGTACAGTGCGACAAGTAAATGCCAACGGCGATTCCAATGATTTGACCCAAAGTGACTTAAATCGACTGGCGGAGTGCAACATTCAGATAAGTGGATGCAAAGAGTTCCTGGCCCAGATAAAACGGGAACGTAGTCAAGACTGGGGAGCGGAACCGGCAGCAAAGCTGTTGTGTGACAAGTTAGAACAATGTCAGACGAAACTGGAGGTATGTCCATTCCGCCTACCCCCTAACATTTTGCAGGTGTGCTAGTACAATACTCATGTATATGTGTAAGCCCCATTAGATATGAAAAATGACGTACTCATTCAAAATTCTCTTCTAATTAAATCTGTTATAGCATTTCAGACAAGTTTGGCTATTTCCTAGAAGACGGTCTGTGTGGACCCAATCTTGCTGTACGAAGACTGTCGTAATTTGCTATAATCAAACTGCGCTAGTTTGGTATGTATCGACTGGAACAAAACTGAGGAAGTACCAATGACATTTAGTCGTCACAGAGCACTGAGAATCCTGATCGTTGGGTTGCTCGCTGAGCTAATGAGTTCCGTTTTACCTGTTGTCATCGCCTGAGTACATGTCATCAGCGCGTTGTTAGTGAGCGCAACTTATAGAGGTTGAAACATCTGCAACGAAGTCGTTTGGCTCTGCGAAAAAACTAGAGGTTATCCACACTACCCGAGCTACCAACGTTATTTACCACAGCAAATTGTTGTTTCTGCTATAACAGAAGAAAAGTAAAAAGCCGGCTGAACTAAAGAGTGAAGTTTGATGACTCGGTTAAATACGGATTTGATTAACCCCTGCTGGAGGATGTTCATCCAAGCTATCCTGGTTAGCTACTGGGTCACAGACGAAAGCATTGAGCAACACAAAGCCCGTAATTAAATACAACAATGTTCACCAGTACAGAGCGTGCATTTGCTTCATCGCATTTTGTTTAAATGAACTGCAGTCGACCATGAACCTACTCGATTATTAAGATTCATTTGGAAAGAATCTTGGCTGATGTCTGAACACACACAACCACATGTTCAGCTATATAGTCGAACTTTCTAATGTAGCCACACTAGGTTTCATTCTTACGAGGGGCCTTGATGCTTCCTTTCAGAACGGAAGATCAAGTATTCCACTACCAACTGTTGCTACAGGAAAGAGCATGAACCTCCGAATCCTTTTTTAAACTCCAGCTTGTTGAAAGCCACCTGTACGTTGTAAAGAATAGGTGATCATTTACAACTCGTACCGGATTTGTCTAGTTGCTGTTGTTTTGTGATGTTGCTTGCTTCCACCATCTAGTTCGTGTCTGAAATGTGCAGTCAACTGGCAGTATCGCCATGAACACTTGTACTACATTACAGGCCTTCCGTAAGTAAGCTGTTTGTTAATTCTGCCACACTACTCATAAGGTGGCCGAGAACACTTCGACAGCCCATGACCGGTTTGGCCTTCTTAGGTCTTATTAGGTGGGTGCACCCAGAGTTCCCGTTCTACTTGGACGAGAGATTCGGCTGAATTCAGTTGAGTTTCTCGGCAAAATCAATTTAATATGCAAATGTGGATATCTAGCAAATGTTTTTAAATACTTTTTCCAGGTTACTCTAAACTCCGTTCAAAATGTCCTCGAAAGGATGGACCGCATAACGAATCTTGAGCCATCCCTGACAATTTTGAAACAGCGATTGACTGAGGTCGAAAAGCAGCTACATTTACTTGACATCATTTCCTGCACACCAGACGAGCTTGCAACAAGCACAGAAAAAGTAAAGGTGAGGAGTTTAGATTGACGTTTTTCTCCTACTGTTGCATTTATTTATGGATTCTCAGCTTTGAGGGAATGACCACAAAATTCGATCAGTTGTATCCCAGAGGAGCTTATGTGGTGTATACGCTGAGGTATGTACACTATGACATCTCAGTTGTGAGAAAGTGCCAGTGATAATCCGCACTCTTAAAATGTCCTTCTGACCTCCAAGGATTTGGACTATTTAAAAGGCAACGGCTGAGACCGGCACAAACCTAAGGCTCTGACAAAAAGTATTTTTTTATCGCACCTCCCTTTGTCGTTCATGATAGAGTGATATTTGTGACAAAGGACCTTTACAAGACCCACCGCGTCAATCTTGGCCGCCGCTGCGAAACAATGTGTGGTTGTGGAAGCGTCATTCACTTTGACATGTTGACTTATTATCAAAGGGCACGCATAAGGCTTCGTAAGCTTCCTACGCGATACTGCTTCAATTTTCAAACTTTGTTTTTGCTCCAAACTTCCTATTAGGGTTAACGCTGAACCCTCCTTATTCAATTTGTTGTCTTGCAGGATCTCCTAACAAGCCTGAATGAACTAAAAGTTGAGCTTGATCAGTTGCAAAAAGCCAGCCCATCTGCAGACAAAAAATCGACAGATATTTCGGAAAAACTGTCGTCAGAGCTCATTGCATTGCAAGAGCGTCATCGGAACTTAGTCATGACCATTTTGACTGCTCTGGGTCGGTTGGAAGATGCATTGCCTTTGGCACAGAAATTGGAACAACTCGTGGCGACTTTGGGCAATCAGGTGGACAGCGTGGAAGAAGTGACAGACTATCTTGAAACAGCGGACTGTCCAATGTCGAGGAAAGATATGGTACAGGTAAATAGTTTAACCGCAATAAACCACTGGTTTAATGAAATACACTCACTTCCAAACAAATCTGGTTTTGCGAGAGACACACCTGGAACCCAGATGAATCTCTCGTCTGTGATGTCACTGGTTTGCTGAACGCGTTATGACGATAATCACCAAGAGTCGAGAACTGTGCACATCGAAAGCAATTAACTCCAAACGATTACATTTTTATAGCTGGAAGAAGACTGTTCTAGTCAACCAGTGGCGAAAACAGAAATTTTGACACTCCTTTTGGCACGGGATTTCGGTTTCACCGGATTTAGTTAGGAGGGTAGGTGTTGGATCTTAAAACAGTCAAGCGTCGTGGATGATTCACCTGTAAGAGTTGGTGAAAACCAACTTGTTACACTTCGCAGCAGTCACACCACAAACCCAAAGATCAATTTCAGATGAAAAGACAACAACACACCTTACCGACTATGCGTCAGCAGTTTCCTTGACTAAGAATGATACCCAGCTTTTTTAAGGCCTCTGAACTTCGCCCTTCGTTACGAAACTTCCTTCAAATCCTGTCTGATCAACTGTGCCTTGCAGATTGAAAGGATAGAGACAAAACCGATCTAGACAAAGGTACCATTGACTCGTTCTTACTGATGGAAAAACAAGGTTCGATTCAGTAATACGGAACCAAAATTCAAATTCAAGTAGATGGTCCGAATCAAACTCAGGTTGTACAGTTTCTACTACACCAAAGTTTTACCTGTTCCCAATGGGTTATCTATTTCTGAGGGACCAGATAACAGATGAAGTGGAAATTAATAGAAAACAACATAATTCGTCCTAGCGATAGGAGGCGGCATAAGTGTATCTACAACAACTTTAATTACAGGTGCCTGATTTCGATTTGATGTTTTCAGTAGCCGGAGGCAATCATCAATAATAACGATTCAGTTTGGTTTGTGCACATTTTCTTTTTGGAGAGCGGTTAGAGAATAAATCATTCTGGTTTATTTCTTGGGCTTTAGCCCCCCAGCCCTACTGCGGTAAGTACTATTTTCATTCCCTTGAAAAAGTAAAACCAAAATGGGAGAGCTGACATTTACAATAAAACTCCATTGTTTCATATTTATTGACGTGAAATTTTAGAATGGAGCAGAAATCGAACAATTTGAGTAATATTCAATAAATTGGATCCTACTGAAACTATTGAATTAGGTACGGATGGCCCATTCGTCGTACAGAACCGCGCATATTACGATGGAATCACTATCCTCACAAAGCCACTGAAATCAGCTGTTTGCTTTGAGCCGTTATTGCGCACATCACTGCTCTATAATTCCGAAAAACCTGCAAAAAGTTCTGTCAAAAGTAGGGCACTTACAGTTCTGTCTTTGTGGAGTCTAGTCGGGTAGGGCAACAGAGGCCTGTTGAGGTATGTGAATCACAACCATAAAATGCCATGTTACCGGTTGAGACGGGAAAATATCTTAAATTTTTTTATACCAGTCCTCTGTATAAGTGAGATAACACAGTTAGATTGTTCTCTTAAAGTGAGGATTCAGCTGTAAGAATGGGCATTTAAAAGATACTGGAACTATTTTACATCTCGAATGCCTGTCAAATAAAGGCGTCAAATGTATGCGTAGTGTGCAGAAAGTATTGCTGGAACACGTCATAAACGATACATTCTAATGGTGGGGTCCAAATATGAGCTAAATGATTGCATGAACAGGAATAAACTCAACGAAATGAGGAGGGTAAAATGCGGATTACCTTATATCTTAGTTGACGTCTCTGCTTCCCAGTAGCGAGGGTTTACGTTCTAATTTGTTTGCGACATTCCTTATGTCAGATGCCATTCAAATCATACTGAAGGATAGACAAGGTTAAGCACAATACACCATTTGCAGAATGACTACTGATGGGGTATTTTGAATGGGTTTTTACACTGGGGTTGACTTCAAAAAAGATGTCTCAGCGTACCTTCTTTTCACGATCTAAAAGGAACTCCATTAAACACTGATATTTTTTGAACTTAGATAAGGTGAGAGTGCAGCCTGTAAAGAGCGGATTAATTCACCGGAGCTTTGTTCTCATTAAGCATCGATTAGGTGAAGAAAATGAAGGGCTACATCAAACGTTTCCAGCCCAGAAGGTGTGTTCCTATGGAGGGGATTGCGTACAAGTATTTCTATAGTTGTGTGGGACTAGTGCAGTGAACATAGCACGGCTTCCTATCGAGTGCTGCGATTGTAGTGGGACATCTTAATTTTTTCGTGTTAAATCTATCTGCCATGAAATCGCAAATCGTCGTTCAGTTTTTCAGCTAATACGGATGTGCACAGAGACAAATTACTTATATACAGCAAATACTTGTTTCGTTTCCCTTGAGTTGTATGTGTTTTGGTTAAACTTCCACCAACCCTTATTACCTTACGCCATCCACAGAGTGTATACACCAGCCTCGAGAAAATCTGTGCCAAAGATGGCCTCGTGGGACAGATTCTGCAAACCATGGAAAAATTGAAGCAGTTAACAACGGTTGAATCTTCCTTGACATCATCAAAACAGTTTAAAGACATTGAGAAACGCATTGAAGGCGTGATGGCGACAAAAGAAGCATTCCATCGACAGGCTGAGCAGCTGGAAGCTAACGCAGCGAAGCACACAACAGACAGCTGTTCGCACACACCGGTAATTTATTATTTTAAATTTTGAATCCCATTATGAAGTTATTATGAATTTGACCTGTTTGCTAGGTCTTATTGTAATATATGACTTGTAAGCTTAGCCTCGTAAAAAATAATGGTTTGGTAGTTACACACTGGGGACAAGCCCAAATGGTCCTTTGGATTAGTTATCTCACGGCACTCGTCAAAGCTTTTCAGTGGTGAAATGAACGAAAACTCGGTGAAATAAAGTATAAATTTTGATCGCCATCAGCATCTTTCAACTTGCACATCACTGACGGTTCTCTGGGGTATTAAAAACGATCAGTAGTTTGATACAAATCCAACATTAGCGATCATTTCCTAATTGGCCACTGAAATCTGATAATGCGTTTATACTATTAGGAAGCGTTTCAGTCGCCCAGGTTCACTGGGCTACCTTATTTAGTTGCGAACGTTCCATCACCAGCCAGGGCCGCTTTACCAGTGCGCCTTTTCGTGGTGAATGGTGGGGTGATTTAGCGGTTGTGCCACCGATGACTGGACACACCTCCATCGCACTAGGAATTCATCTTTTTTGGTGATGGAAAATTTTTTAAGTCCATTGAACAACCCTCATGTACGTATGTCTTGCAGTGGCTCACTATACCAACAGAGAGTTCTGTGATATAAAAACCTTCAGGTTTGCTTGTTTTCGTGATTCGACGTATTGGTCGGTTATTCACGGCTGAGTCGACCAGTTACCATTATTTATTGTACCTCAGCTGTTAAAGTAAGTGAATGAACTGGAAGTACAGGCTGGTTGTGTTTGTGGACCAGATCCGGTTTCATCATATTCATGAGAACCTTTTGAAGAAAAAGAATAGATAAATGATATCGTTACCATTGCATTAGTACACGGGCTTCGATGGGATATGGATACTTCCGAAGAAGCATTGGTTCACAGGAAAGTGCAGCATAAGCCATCGAAGAAGAATTATCAGGGGTTCAAAAATCTCCTATTGGTGAGGGTGTCTGTCCGTGATAAACTGCGCAATAAGTGCCGCATCGCTTTCTTTACTCAGTAAAGTTAAGGGAAATAGGCTAAAAAGATGAGAAAGATAAAGTAGGAAAAATTCCTTATCTCGTTGTAAGTGAACGCTTTATATAATTACTACATTTGTATACCCGTGATTGGTGAACCAGACAGACCCTACTATCTAAATAACCAGGAAGAGAGATTCAGCTGAGTCTCTCGTGAAGACCGAATTGAATTGCAAATGAGTGCATTTCTCCATAACAGTCTAATTTGGGTTCAACTAGAACATAAGGTTGACCGATACTCGGGGGCTGCGTCTACCTGATGAGCCCAAAGAAGGGCGAAACCGGTCGTAGGCTGTCGACGGATTTTCAGCAACCTTGTGAGTACTTTCATTCATTAAGAAGCAGTGTTTTTCCGCTGGCCAAACTTGCGCATGAACTGGACCGGAAAGTAATGCGACAGGATTATGTGTTGCCATTTGAACAATGCGAACAATGATGATTTAGCCAGTCACATAGCGATGAGCATCCCTTTTTCATCAGTTATTTCCGTGGTTCCCATTAGCTTTATCAGTAGTTGGTGTTGCGACTCCAAAAATCTTCTTGATCGGTGTTTTGTGCAAATTTGAAATGCAGACCAAACTGAGTCTGTTTCACTCAAGGAGAGCCCAGTGATGTGAGTAGTTATTGTATATCAGCTGTGATATAAATCGAGTTCACCGATAGCTCCTTAAGAAATCAGTGTCTATCATACGGTGTAGTGGAAGAATGATTACCAAAATTTTCCGTGGAGGATTCCAATAGGTGACAAGTTATGTTTTTATTTTGCATGTCTACCTTGGTCCAATGAACATCCTTGTGATGGGTAGCCAAAGGTGGTGGTGACTTCTGAATATTGGAGAAACCATATTATAAAGATCACTACAGTAGCCACGACAACGTGATGTAGAGAGATAAATAAGTAGGCTTTTCAGTCTAGTTGCAGAATGAGAGGTTGAAAGGAGGGCTAACATCGTGTTTTGGGATTAGGGTTCATCGAGCTTCATTGGACTAAATAAACCGGTCGACTCTTTGTTGGTTAAACGATGGATTCAAGTCTGCTAGCTTGACCATGTGTATAGTTTCTAGGACCTCCTGAAATCGGTGAGAATTCTCCCATGCAAATAGCCCAACATGAACTTATATGTACTGCCAGTTTCTAAAATTCGTAATAGGCTAGCGCATTTCCAGTCTAGTGGCTGAAAAATGTACTACAGCAACCTTGTGACTTTCGTATTTATTCACTGCAGATATATCCCATCGTAAAATCCTGTTTGTTTTGGATAGTTACAGTGTGATATGTCATCGGAAAACGTGTTCATGATTAGGCTGCCTCGTATAAACACACCGTGCGTACTTCTCCACCCGATCTCATTATCATGCAGAGATCACGGGTATTCAAGCTGCCTCAAAATCGGCTGAGCACAAACCCCTAGTTACGCTTTCAGCACGCTTCCAGTTGCGCAAACACTGTTGGCCTACACGTTCGTCTCAGTTGTTGGCTCATCAAATCAACCACTCATCCGAAAGGTCATGAGAAAAAACTATTACTTTTGTGACATGTTTATGGGGCATCATCGTCGAGCAACCCGGACCAAGTACGAGAGCCTAGCTACCGTCAATTTGCCGAGCGAAAACGGGGGCGTGCGTTTATCGGTAGTTGATCAGGCGGCCGTTGATCTGATCGCAGAGCTTGGCATTTGGCTTGCAAGCGTTCATCACTAGTCGAGAACAAGTCACCAGTGCAAGGTGAAGAGAACTCCTGACAGTGCTTCGTCGACTAGAGATGAAATGTTTGCAGGCTATTGGCTATAGCCCGGTGAACATCCGAATGCCCACTTAACGGACACCTAACGGTGGCAATAAAAAATCCAGGGCTCGAAAACTCTTAACGCAAATTCAAAACCACCTGAAGCTCAGGACGTCCTACTATGCGAGGTTTCTCGACTTAGCTTACGTCGTTTTCGCCAAAAGGTCATGCATAATATAAAGCAGGAAAAAGGTGACGTTTTCAGCAAACAAGTTTCGACGTTAATAACTAACACCCAAAGAGATCTGAGAACGTCTCATCTGCTAACCTGTAGGAAAATTAACTCGGACACTTGGGAGCAAAATATAGGATTAGTTATCCATGACCCGGTTGCCCTCTTTGAAACATTTGAAGTCTTTTTTTATCCCTTGGCATGTTCCGTTATCTAACTCCTGGCAACGCTCAATATGCTTCCTAACATAAGGCACTCGCCCTTGAGCATCCGGTATTACTGGGGATCAGACCATCAGTGAGCCAGTTGATTGAATCATTGGTTAAGAAGGAATCCCAGACACCTCCCATGCTTCGTCAACTGGCGCGTGAAATAAAGGATCACTTCAAAAGCGTGGTTCTATTCTATCGATACTGTCTTGGCACAAACGCACCACTGCCTCCGGTCCGCGAAGAAGAGATGGAGGTCAATTCGCATATCTCAAAGGGAAGTGATTACGTAACCACCATTGCGGAACGGAAAGCTGTTGTCCAGGTGAGGAGGTTCTTTTTCTTGTGACTTGTACTTTGAATCGGAATAGCCGCATTTGTTCTGAGAATTTCCCATTTGAAAGGTTGTTTGGCGATCACTGCTGCGCACCGTAGCAGGAAAATGTTCGAACCTATCTTAGTTGAGCTATGGTGTTGTTGAAACGAAATGATCACTTGCTCGTACAAGAGAAATCGGGAAAAACACGTCTGGAAATCCGTGTCACTTAAACCATCATCTCATGTAGTGCCAACGAACAAGCATTTCAGTCAATGTACATGTGTCTTCTGTAACCCTATGATTCATAGCTGTGATATGTTGTAGCGTAGATGGTGGTCGTTGGCTTGTTCGCTGAGCTGGGCAATTTGATTGCAAACGTTTCATCACCGGTCGAGGTGACATCATCAGTGCATTACTGTGTGGCGTAGTAGTGCGTAGCGGTGGGTTGGTGGTTGTGCGTTGGGTAGTGTTGTGCGTGTGTTAATATACGTACTGCTAGCAGGGATGATGAACAACTAATCGCGATCAAAGGTCACGTATATTAACACACGCACAACACTACCCAACGCACAACCACCAACCCACCGCTACGCACTACTACGCCACACAGTAATGCACTGATGATGTCACCTCGACCGGTGATGAAACGTTTGCAATCAAATTGCCCAGCTCAGCGAACAAGCCAACGACCACCATCTACGCTACCTGAGCTACCAACATTTTCCTCTGTAGGTGTCATATGTTTTAATGAATTTCCAGTTTATTACACCAGACTCAATACGTAATGACTTCGGCTATGTTTACTAAATCAAATGAGGCGAACGTCGTTTAATCTCTTAAGAAGAGGTGCAGAAACCATAAAAATCCTACGAAGGATTTGAGGGATACTTGTGGTTTAATATTACTTACGGAAAAGAAGTATGAGCAAGTGAATCAGCAAGTGTAGCCCCAACGATTAGCGAGATTTGGAGATTGTCGGGGGACACCCGGAGTAATACCAAGTTTAGCTGTCGATGTTTACCATTGAAAAATGCATGCCTTCTTCCAGTTAGTTCACGCAGGATCCACATAGCCTATCCTTCTCCTTTAGACCCTTCAGAGGGATGTTGCGGGGTCGGTCACCTAAAGTTTAACACGATAGCAGACAGGATCGACAAACAGGATCAAAGTAATTTACTGGTTTGATTCCGTACTTCAACTATGTCTATGTTATTCCCGAAAATTCTGGAGATACTCAAGCTCATCAATACGTTGGTAAATTTTTCAGTAAATAGTTAAGCTTATGTTCCATGCCTACATAACAGATAGACAGTTGTGTTTTCTGGCTTTGTTCAGGGATAAAATTTGGAACGTCATCTTTCCATCATTTTTGCAAAAAATAATTTCCATTGTCTTTGATGTCATGCTACCACATTCTCAATATTTTGCTGTTTTCATAAACAGATATTTTTCAGGTTTTCTAACAACGTAAGTATGGATCCAATCTTGGATCCTTTTTCACCAATCAGATTGTCAAAATCAGATATTCTTGCACCTATAGAATGGTTGGATCGTTGCACTGTTGTTGATGCTTTGTTGATTTGTGTTTCATCATTTCCATCTGGCTCCCCACCAGTATAGCTTGCGTTCGTTCACATCCCTCATCCGCACATTCATTTCTTGGCGACTGTGTTTCCTCATTTCATTTTCTGTGTTTGCGCACTGAACAATGTAAAATGTTGCGTCACTTTGGAATCCAAATAACCGTATTTTTGCATTCTGGGCTGATCTGAATACTGATTGCTTCTATCCTGGTAAATTGCACGACCGTGTTGCTGACGTCTGACAAGTAATAAGAATTTGCTGACGGTCATATGTTAGTTTGTAACGTGCCCTAAACTCTGATGAAAACTGACAGCCGGTTTATTCTTACCGAGAGGCGCCAACGCTCCACAGGACTTCCAGTTGATCCTTAAAATTGAGAACTGCTGTGCGATTTCCACCAGGCTAAGTTGCGGCGCTCAAGGAAAACACCAACTGCTTCTATGTAAAGGTCTATTCGGGTTTCGTGAGACGTGCACTGCCACTAGCCTTAATAAAAAATGCAAGCAACAACAGGTTCTCTTCGTCTCCCTGAGTAAAGGTGGTTGCAGTTCCACTTCATAAAAAAACAATTTCAACAGTACTTGAAACAGTTCCCAGCAGTTTACTAAAAAATAACCGTCGATACCATCAGCTCATACGAACAGTTGCTGATGTACGTTTGCAAAGGACATGCAACCGATGGGCCGTTTTCTCTGCTTTCTGTGGTCTATTAGAGTGTGTCACTGTTTTATAGGTCCCTAGCACACCTTGTACTGGTTCTTGCAAAACTGATAGTTTGGGAGCTGGGGTTTTCAGTCATCAGCTAAGGCGCCCCGAACCCTGTTTCCGGTGCAGAATTGGACAAATTGGAAAAATTGGAATAGCTCGCTCTAAGGTCCCCTTTGGACTGACTACTTCCTTTCAAGGGGGGAGCAGCCCCGGTATGTAGGCGAAAATGTGTCCCTTGAGTACACATTGTCCAATACTGGAAACGATTTCTCTGTCCGTTCGGACAGGGTAACATTTATGTATATTCATCCAGAAACATATAATATGGTGATTTACAAAACCGTAGTGGTCAGTGAATTAAGACGAAAACACACTTCATAGCAGACCTTCCATATTCCCGCTAAAGAAACCCTCTATCAGCTTACTCTGATTTCATATCTGCGCATAAATGCACCATATTTTGATGAAGAGATTTTGCTCAGGGAAACTCCCCACCTATTAGCCATTTCGAATCCCCGAAGTGAACAGCTTCAGAGTTGGGACCCCGTCCACACCCGTACTACATGAGACCACTCTTAAGTCAACACTAAGAAAATATCTATCGGAAGAAGTGAGAATTGTCCAGTTCTTGAGGATGTATGCTCTAGGGTGTAACTTGGATTTCCTACATGGAACTTACTATCCAGATTTCATTGTTTCAGAATATTCTCTGACATGCTAGTTTGCATAGAAGTCATTTCGAATGAGCAGGAAGCCAAGCCGACTTCACGCAAACAAGGAGGCGTGTGCTGTGCAAGTGTCTTATATTACACTTGTGGTTGTATCCCATTTGTGTTCAGTTCAATATTTTGTTCAGCGGAACAGTGACTGAAAAAGCACGTGACTTCTAGTTTTTTATCCTTTAAGGAGAATGGGCCCAGTTTCATTTTCGACAAATTAGGGAAAATACTTGCAAATGTGGCTTCCAAGATTTCTGTTGGTATATGCTTCACCTGTCAAGAAAAAATGCAGCAGAAGCCTTAGAAAAAATAGTTAACGCCAGTTTGTCGGGACGCACAGGTCAAGTTCCTGTTTAACTTGGCCGAAATAAGTCATAAATAAAGAGGTGGTTCCATGATAACCTTCTGCCACAGAAGATCATTTGTTCCCTGTGGGATTCACAACGTGGACGTAAACAGGTCGGATAGGTAGCCCCTCCGGATACACTCTCCTCAAACAGTTCACAACGCGGGGTTCTAGCTAGATAATATTATTACTGGTCGAACTAACCTTGGTCTAACCAGACGTCTCGTGAATTATTGGCTCAGGTCTTCATAAGCATCAGATGCCCCTCTGAATCAATCATCGGATAAATGAGCCAAGAAAAAAGGCGAAAAGCAATTAAATGCAATTAATCGTTTAAGGACAAAATATGTTGAACAATAAGGAACCAGTTAATTAGGATGCTTAACCGGTAGAGCTAACCTGTGATCTCAACTCACCGGGTTGCATAACAGATTGTACCAACCAAAGTCAGTTACTCTCCGGTATCGTGTTTCTCTTCATATTTTAAAAACAGTGGTGCTTTATGGTATGCTCACATAATGTTCTATCTTTGATTGCCATCGAATATATTACTGTGTGCCACAACCCATTCGGTCTGTTGAACTGGGCGCTCATTGATTCGTTTTCTGTCGCGTGTTGGATTGCATATGCTGGTGCACAAATGAGCTTTTTATTATGTTTAGCTAGAGTTCCCTCTCCATTTCAGTACTTATTACAGCAAAAAACGCATTTGGGCGATCGACTCAGAGAACTAATCGTCAACGCAGGTGGAGACGGGATAGGTTATCGGCTGCAAGACCTTCTGAGCCTGCAAGTAAGCAAAAACTCTTCCACTCGATGAGGTTTCTTGGAACAGGTGCGAATTTCAGTGCGGAAAACAAAAGCAACGGAGTCGTAACTAATCGTTTTGACGAATAAATACAATATCCATCGAGAAATCCCTTTTGGGAGCAGGATTATGGAGCTTAGTCCAGATATTCAGCTTAACAAACATGAAAAGTGTCCACATGTAAGGTAGCTTGGATGATCCCAAATTAGGGGAGCCCGTAATGTAGGATAGAGAGAGAGAGAGAGAGAGTACAGAAGAATATTCGGAACTGAAATTTAAAACACAACAACAGATTAGCAATTCTTAAGGACATCGCCATGTCGGCGATTGATATAATGAATCATCGATACCCTGGCCTCACAGGCGACATACATCAGTGCAGCCAAAACGCTTCGTTGCGTTTTCATGCTCAGTCTCGCGATTGTGCAATGTCCACCTTGTGAAGTTTTACAGATGCAGGCTGTCTTCAAAACGGATTACACAAAGACGCCGATCAACAGATATAGGGAACATATGGCCACGCCATCGTAGTTGGTGTAGCCGAATGAACTCACCAGTTGGGCATGTGACCGACTCACTGTCAAAAATCACAATAACATCTCGGCTTCATCAGTACACCGATGGTCAAAGACAACCGCTCTTCTTCCGTTTTCAACGCACAGCGATGATTCTTCACAACTGTAAAGGAACACTGGAAATACTGGCGTTTTGTAGACAGTGTAATGTCATGCCAACCGCATAAGTGCCTATTTCGAAGAGTGCAAAACGGTTAGCTTATCTAGGGTGTACTTCTTCAACAATGCCATCATCTTATATACTGCAACTCTCCGGATAGGCAAACCTATCGAATATCCGTAGTAGTCCTTAAAATATCACTAATATTGATGATGGACTCATCTGAACTTGTAATAACACACTTTACGTGGTACGAAGCGCACAGTGGAGGTTCGAAACTTAGTCCAAAACCCATGACGACATTCACTAGACTGTTTAGAACTTAAAGTAACTGGATGGAACCTGATTCAAATAGCACAAAGCCGTCTACATAGTCCAAGTCTTTGATGACTTCTCTGAGGAAGCCCGTCACCTGAGCTGATAGCACCTTTTCGAAGAACCTTTCTTCGATAATCAATGCGCTAATAAGATTGAAAATAACCGCTGTCGTAACATCCGGCGCACAGCGTCTACTTCACATGGACTGAGGACTAATTGCCCAAGCCTACACGGGAACAGCGGGATGCAGTGATAATGGTCGAACAGTGAACCTTTCGGTAGTTAAGTTCGCATCCAGTTGCTCATTTGATTAGGAAGTTAAAGAGGGAGATGACAAAAGGCAGCCCTTATGGACACCGATTTTGGTGCTGAATTCAGTAGAAAGCTCTCCATGTACTTTGGCGCTCAAAGAGGATAGGGGTGCGACAGCGTTAGTGAGGATTTCATCCTGTAAATAGGCCAATATTTTCTGAGTCTGAGAAGCACTCTACAACTGTTTCATCCTAATTAGTAGAATTGTGACTATACCCGACTGACGAGCTCCAAAAAGGGCACAAACTGAGGTTGGCTTTGGCGAGTTTCGATTGATCACCCCCATACTCATTGCAGCTGCTTAGGCTATTAAAAAGGTCACAGAATTGTTTCATCTCTCTTTCTAGAATGTATGGCACGAGACCAATGACAAGCTGGATCGTCGAGGAGAGCACATGGCAACGTTGGAACAGCAGCTGAACGCAGCTGAGCAAGCCTTGTCAGAATACATGGTAAGCCTAATGACAACTCGGTTCTGCGTGCCTGCGTTTGTTACAAAGCTATTCACGCACGCCGCTACGGATATTTTGATTCCGTGGTCATACTTTTCAAACTATGATGGGAATGATTATTCATGAAATAAGCCTGGACATTAAAACAAATGATTAGATCTGAAATCGAAATACCTGACGAATTCTGCATACAGCAGTTTGGAATAAAAACTATCCAAAGGGTGGCCACGCGTTTAATGTGACTAACAGGGAAAACTACGAGGTACGGACCCTAGAAAGTCAGAATGCCACTGGCCAAACAGACAATAAATGAGAATGTTTGTGTTCTCTATCCTTATCTCACAGATTCGGGTTTTCATCGTGTTCCATAAAACTGCATAGCTTTCCTGTGATTTGGAATGTTTAATTTCAATACGAACAGATAAGAAATATCTGGTTATCCCAAGGCTTGGCGGCTGGCCATAAGCAACTGAATTGCAAGAAGGTTACATATTCTTCAAAGCAATACTTTCACTCTTATCAGTAACAGTGAAAACTAAATGCGTGTGAAAGAAAAGACTACAGTTTACTCATTTATTTCGTACGGAACTCTATTCACTGAACCGGCTAGTTTTGAACAAATAATTCTGACTGGGATTATTTGTCCTCAACTGATCCATTGCACCGTCGCTAAAAGCGGGGCCTTCTGTCGAATGTTAGCATGAAACGCAGCGTGCCGTCCTCCAAGGGGTTCAAGCATCCAATCCAGAAAGTTCGACAGTGGGTTTAGACTAATTAAAATATTTTTAAAAACTGCAACCGGGCTCGCCTGAGTGACTTGACAAGCAAACATTTTGAAATGTAGATATAATTCGACTTGGCAGATCAGTCACTGAAACCTTCCGACCAAACAGAAAATCGTGACCGAAGGTCAGTCCCGGCTAGCAGCACGTAAATCAAAACGCACGCAACACTATTCAACGGACAAACATCGACCCATCGCTACCCTCCACTACGTTCCCTAACAACGCACTAATGATGTCACCTCAGTTAGTGATCAAACGCTTGCCCAGATTGCCCGATTGCCCAGCTTAGCGAAAAAACGAACGACCAATTAACTCTATAGCCACCCACATTGACGGGGAATCTGCACAAAACCTTGCATAGTTGGGCTGATAGTCTACAGATAACTAGCGCAGAATTATATTCTCTAATTTTCCGTTCTCATACAGGTCACCTTTGCAAAAGGGGAGCAATCTAGATTGCACGCATTTTGGTTCATTCTGGTTGAGTTTTCCAAGCGAAACATGTACTCTTATTGGATCTTAAAAATGCAGAATTGTGATCTACGATAACAAGCTGGTATCTCAATAAATGCTGCTGGATTTGGTAAATCAAAATCCTCATTCAGGAACTCCAAGTCGGTAGCAGAGCACCATTATTAATTAGCACAATGTAAATAAATAAATAAATAAATAAATAAATAAATAAATAAATAAATAAATAAATAAATAAATAAATAAATAAATAAGCACAAAGGTAAATACGGTCAACTGGTTTTGGCCCATTATTTTGTCAGGAGTGCGTCCTGTGAGCACTAGATCATTCTTGATCGACGCCGCCATGGTTAATACCCTATTGATTAAAATCATTTACGAAAACCTGAGCTAATCCAAGAAAGAACGGGGCCAAACCTTCAGTAAAGACGTCAATAACACCAAATAAAATGTTTCTTCATCATCAAGCGCTCCCGGAAACCGTTTTCTCTCCAAACGTGCATCCTGTTTAAAACATGGTGCACGCTGTAGAATCATAAACTCATCGCCGAGAATTGCGATTGCACCTCCTCATTTTTTTCTCTGTCTTTACTTTGTAGCTCCTTACACTTGGCCCATATGTAACTGGATGTATGTCCCTCGACGCCAGTTAATTTTTTCTGATTTGCGACAATGTTTTGTTATGGAATTGTGTTTGACATCCGCAAACGTTATTACGGTTTCTGGGACCGCATGGTCTATGGTTGACCTATTTTTGAACCTTGTCCTTCTGTTAATGGACTTTGTGTCCGCGGCTTTCCACAGGCATGTTGCTCAACCGCGCAACGCTCCAAATGTATCTCTCTGCTAAATCGGTTGGAGGAGACATATGGTTGGAAATTGACGGCGGACCATGAGATGCTCAATCAAAAAACCCTGTCCGACGCCTATTTCACTGACAGAGCTAAAAAGGATAAGATATTGGATGAAAACCTTGTAAATAAGTATGAGGCGCAGCTGAGGACTCCAGCGCAACTTTTGAATGCCAGTCATTTGGACTTGGCCCTCATAAAACGAGGTTCAGTGGTGGATCTAGGTGCTATTCTGAAGGTAGGTGGATTAAAACTGCAATTATAAATTTACCTTTCTATATAGTGGTGTTGTAGATTGGTGCTTGAATCGAATATTCATTCAACTAAGTCAATTTTGAACTATTTACCCAGTTTCTAGCTTCGAGCTTCAAACAGATGTTGGAATGCATGTGTACTGCCTAAATACTGCAGTATTACCGGTAATTGATAGCAAACGCAAGCTTTTTATCACTAATAACAGGGCGTTGTTTGCCTACGAGCCCCGTAAATTAGAACAATAAGTTGTAAAATCATAGGAATATTGGATTATTCGCTATTGGTTTTATCTCATTTCAGTGAAGGTTACTACCAATTATTAATTAGGAAATTAATTTGGGAGAACTTACAGGCTAAAGAATATGTTTATGCGCACTCCCTTCACTCTGTTTCACTCATACATCTTGCACTGGATTTAGGGAACAATATTTTCCGGAGGGCAACCCAAAATTGTAAGTGACCCTTTGATAAACTGCAATTCTACGTATCATTCAACATCGGATCACGTAAATTGAACGTCAACGGTAGGATATTGACGCCAACTTTTAAACACGATCTTTCATGTTGCCGGTCGGTAACTGGTGGCCAAAGGGCAAATCATTCTATTATTGGGTGGAAATTTATGTTCTGGAATTCTCTTACAAGTTCGTGGAATGTGCGATGCCGAGTGCTAGTTCCCCTCGACATTTTGGTGTGGACCGGTTTCGCTTTCGTAATGGAATACTTACTGCACCCTTAAACTTTCCTTAAAATTCAAAAATTAAGATTAGAGTGAGTTCTAGTTTCACGAGTTAACGAAGATGTAGATGTGGCCATTTTACGAAAAAAACGTTTCAAAGAAATGTTTTTAAGATTGGTCATTTTGCAGCGCAGGTGTAATTTGGTGTAATTTCTTTTTTCAGCGTGCGGAAAGTCGGTTCATTCAATGTCATCAAGCAATTGAAGTGACAGAACAAACACTCGACCAACTAAAAAAGACCTACAACCCTGTGGAGAACACTCAAATACCAGTGGATAGAGCAGATCCTGAGTGTACAAGCACTTTGACGAACGATGACTTGATGTGGCTAAAAATTTTACTGGAAGCGCAAAAAAACCGCTTTGATGACTATTCAAGTCACTTTAACTTCCACAAAAAGTGAGTGTAAATAGAGTCTCAGCCATAAGAACCACTATGTTAGACACAAGCAACTGACTCGACACTTTTATCATTTCCAACTAAATTTTCTTGACTGTATGTCTTAAAAAACTAATTTGCCCATGGGACACGTTCACAATAACCAATCACATATAAGTTTGATTAGTTTCAAACAAAGATTTGGTTGAGCTTGCCGCCACAGTGACACAACTATGTAATGATGCTAGACTGGCACACAGCTGGGTAGAGAGATTGGAGAAATTGTAGGGTTGGGACGAAGACGAACAAGTAGTGTGCAATGAAAAGCTTTATGTCCGTTGGTGAAACCATCATCACAGAGTGCCGGAAACTTCAGGCAGAACGGAAGGAACTGTCCATTTTTTTCAAGGCAGGATAAAACCTGATTGCTAGTCAATTAAGGCAAATTAGCATACCGGTTACAAGTTTTTAGGTTCTTCTTTTCTACATACCGCTCTTGATATATCCGATCACTTGGTTTGTTTAAATAAGCAACATGCAACCAGTCTACTTGGCGCTGATGTCAGTGATTTTGTTTCAGTATTTGGCAGCACCGCGTGGATCAATGGGACGCATTTTGTTCCTGTTTGGACAACCTAAAGGCAGTATTGAATGATCTTCGCGAGAACGAGGACAATGCTTATCTTGGCTCCCGACAGGACATACGAGTAAGTTATATGATTTGTATCATGATCCTGCGAGACTGAATATCATGTTAAGCAAGTTATGTGAGAAGAGGAGAATGTTGACCTTATCGTTTCGCCGTTACTAGGTTATCCCCTTTTGGTTGATAGTGCTCATGATGATGTTGAAAAGATAACTCTCTTGGATTTCCGGTCAGAATAAAGATATCCTACGTTTTATTCAACACGTTTTCTTATTGATTTTATCCAAGAATGGACAGCACATACGTCATTCATATTCTTCTTGCGTTCTTCCCCCAGAGACGACTGCAATATGCATGCGGTCAGTTTGAAATCCTTCAAAAGATAGGCCTTGGCCTGACCCAGACAGAAGTCAATGAAATCAGTCAAGAGAACGGCTTTACTGAGCCAAACGAAGGGTTGAAGATGGAACCTGACAAAAACTATTCTATGGAGAAGAAGAATCCACCTGTTGTCCCACCTAGGAGGAACAGCCTTAACAGAGGGAAACAGTCCGGCCCAGAACAGGATGATCGGGCTTATATTCGGCGTGAAGTGAACGCTATTCGCAGCCAGTTACAAGAATTGTGTAGGCGGTATAGTTGTTTAAGTCTTTTGGTTGGTATTGCTGCAGACGGATCGGAACCTGTTGTGTCTGAAACGTCTGGCTTGGGTGAACTCTTGGTACCTCCACCAACCAAAATCACAGCCCAGAGGTATGTTCAGCCCCTAGAAGAATAAGTTTGTTTTAACTAACGGAATTCATTTTATCCTAACTTGACGGAGGTTCGATCTCTTCTTGTATAACTTGAGTGTACATGTAGGACATATTCTAGTTCCGGTTTTTGGAATATGTGACTACAACTTCGCTTTTCTAAATATGGACTTTGATGAATCAGTATATGACTGGGTTACAGGTGAATGGTGGTCACTCCTTGTGAAATAAATCTATAATGACAAAACCCGTATGCATATGGTTCGACCTTGTGGATCGCTTATCAGAATGTCACTTGTGCGATCCCTTTATCCCCTATCGAATCCCAGTAGTTAGAAACGTCCTCATATAGTTGAACTTCTCTGGATCCAGTCACACATTGTTAATTACATCTGTTTAAGTTACAAAAACTCGGTAGAAAATCATCAGACTTTTGGGGAACCGACAGCTACTTGGTAAATTATTGATTCGTCAGACCGCCTGTAAAAGTCATTAGCGGGTTGGATTCTGATTCACACTATATTCAAATTCCGCAATTGAACCAACCGGTTGGTGAATGGGTGATTAGTTCTCTAAAACAGCTGACCATAGGACTGTGTCCGAACGTTTTACGGTGATGAGCATTATTGGTTAGCTATAAGCTATCTTATCATGATTCTATCGTCCTTTATTTGATAACACCTGGTTGCATAAAAAGCCTACGTGGTACATCTCAATGACGACCTTGTAAATGAACGGGTCATATTCACATTACTGAGTAACATTAACCTAGATTAGTATAAGTTGGGAGTAAAATGGGGGATAGACAAATGGGGACAGGGGGAGATGTACGAGCAATTTCTTCTCCCCATCGACTTCAATGCAAGCAGTAAGTTGTTACTGTGTGGACACGGTGATGGCTGGAAGAAACCTCTGCACGCTTATTGCGAATTGCTTCAAAGCGTGCGCGGAAGTGGTTTTCAGTCATTTGTTGCAAGCGTTACCATACAGTGCTTGATCGTGTCATTTTCTTTTTTTTTCGATTCCCTTCAGAGTTCCAGTCTTAGGCGGTTTCATTGTTGACAAAAGATCACAGAAAATTGCTTTCGGTAACTAGAAAACATGTGCGGTTGGAACATATGTTTGGAACGTAGTCAAGCGTCAGCTCCTCTCTCTGTGACACTCAGCGCAGGCTCAGTTAACTTCGCACATTCATCAGCTGACTGTTTTTAATAGCTGCATATCTGGAACTCGTCAAAGAAATCTGTGACATTTATACTCGGATCATTATGCAAGTCCTCCCAACGGGATGTTTTTTAATGAGAATGAACGAAAGTTACTTTAATTCCACCGAAGGACAAGACGCCAACACTATATTGGTCAGACTATGGTATTCCGCTTTTTTGCACAGTACTGTGTTACATGTAAGCACAGAGAGGTTATCCGGTCTCCATTAAACTATGCGGTGCATTGTACTCTTAGCATCCGTATTTGTGAGACCCATGTTCTCGAATAAATTCGGTAGTTTCGATAATATACAGTAAAATTATGGGGATGCACTCACAGTCTCCTTAGCCGGATCTCAAGTTGATACAAGACCATTCAAACACTACTGTTTCTTGGATGGGGTTTTTACTGGTGATCGATATTTTGGTTCTGAGTGCCTCGTCGAAATAGCATTAAGAGTTAACCTGATGTAGTAAGGAAAATAAGGATGCACCGTCAGATATACATCGGGGAGAGCTTGTCAAATCTGCATCATACAGGTAATAAACTATTTATTCGTGAACAGACAGTGATAAAGGTATGTTTCTATCGTTTAGCGCCTATGAATTTGATTTTATCGAGGCAGTTTGTGAGGGTTCGATAGAAAACATTCTAAAAAATGCACCGTGCACACCTTCGCTTATGGAAGAGAAACCTTTTAAAATATACTCGATCTTCCATCTTTTGATTTCGTCCGTCAATTCGAACAGGTCCGCCTATGTGAACGTCGGCGCATTGGACGATGAAGGTCCTCCATTATCGATCTCAACTTTGGAGGAACTCGGTACCTACCAGAACGACGTGGAAGCATGTCTACGAGGTCTGGCTGAAGAAACACACTGGTTGATCAATAGTTCTGGCCTAGTCCCGAAAAGTCTGGTACGACGGAAGTCAGATGATATTCGACTGGCCACCACAGCAAGATCGAAACCCACTACCGAGGCGGAATTGTGCTTCGATCTATTGTTTTGGCATGGACAAACAGGTTCCGACTTGAACGGCGGCACTACGAGGATGAATGTATTAGAGTTCACGCCGTCTTGGTTAAAAACAAAGTGGGCGGAGTTAGAGGTGAGTTTCCATCTGGCAGTAGTACCTTTAATTTCTCTCGTCAAAATGATCGTTTGTGCCTATTCGATGCTAACTGTTTCGACATTTCCAGGCACTGATCGAGGTCACTTTCGAGCATGAAAAACAAGCCAACGCTTGGTGTCGGAAGTCCATTCATCTGGTCCGACTACTTCGAGAGTGTGAAGGGACACGAACGAAACCAGCTCACGGCAAAGTCATCACCAGATTGGAGGCCAGCTGCAATAGGCTCTCTGAGGCGTTATCTTTAGCGCAAACAGCGTTGCGACGTCGTAAACTCTGTCTGACACGTTGGCAGTCACAGCTGGTGGAGTTGGATACCTTGTTGGCCGAAATCAAAACGTTGATGGGATCCTATGAAAATACCGGTTGGGGTATAGCAGGCGAGACTCCCAGTGATTGGTTGGCAGATTTACGCCAAAAGTTGATTGAGACTTTGCGAGTACAGGACCAACGTGTGAATCGCGTAAGTTGTCATTTTTCACATTTATTTTCTGGCCAGAAAACGCTATCATTTGTGGTCGACCTACGAGATATTCACCGTCACCCGGAGGGTAACCATCCTGATTTCTCGAGCCTGCTTAACTCTGTCTGGTACTTGAGTTGTAGGCGTAAAGATGATGGGAGAGCTATAGTGCTGGTACATATGTATGCTTCTGGTTTCTGTCTCCAGCCGTTTGAGTGCACATTAGTTGGGATGATATGATCACGCAGTTTTACAATGGTATCTTATCCGAAATATAGCCATTATGGTGAAAGAGTATCGAAGAAAAAATAAATGTTCCTCATTATCCTTGTATTCAGCAATCCAACACCATTTTCAAGCGCCAGTTTAAATGGCACGCACAAATGTTCCGAACCGAGTGAGATTTTTCAAGCGGTCTTCATGAATTCCATCCTATGCATGACACTGACTGACAAACGTTTGTCGTACTCCGATCTGTGATTCCGGCATTCCCTTCTTTGTCTAGTATCTGTCATAATTTAGCCCGCATTGCACTGTTTTGAGACCTCCACCCCTTGAGATGATTTCTACTCCTATAGGATCATTGGCTTATGGAGTTGGATCCACAAAACTCCGGACTCGGAAATTATCTGGATGCCTTATCTTCAAGCTGGAACAAAATCCAGGCTGAGCTAGCATCGGCTGAGCAGTCGGCAATGAAAGTCCAAGTTCCAGAACACATCGCCTCTCAAATCCGCGCATTGTTAACCGAGTGGGAGATGGTATGCGTTGCCTTGAACTTGCAGCCTAGGATTGAACAGGACAGAAGATATTCCCAAGAAGATCGGGTAAGTGCATTTTCAGTTAAAAAAAGACTAGTTCGCTATAGGTTTCGAGGTTTATTGGTGGTGACTTGTTGAGCCAGCTTGGGTTATCCGTCATACTGCACTTCCTGTAAGATTGTTGCGCTTCTCTACGAATAAGTTGCTTCATCGACAGAGTATGTCTTTCAGTCACAAATTTCGTAGATTCTTCTAAGAGTACAAGAGCAAACAAAACCCAACAAAGTTTTTGTTTCCAGAATTTCGCTCAAGGTAAATACTCAAAACGAAACCGAGAGAAGCCAGCATAATGCTATATTTGCATCCTGGCTTTCAATTTCGACCTGAGTGTACTCGGATCTTGGCAATCTTGCTCTAATACATGTTCCGTACAGAACATACGTGAACTCGTGACAACACGAAAATCAATGTGAAGGTACTGCAGGTGTTGCTAGAATTTGTAAAATGGAGCCAAGCAGTACAACCAAGCAGAACCTTTGAAGAATGAATCTATAGTGCAGCTGTACTGCTTCTCCCTATCCTTCTATTATAATGAGAACATTTTTTTTCGAAAATACCTGCAGCGAAACTGAGCTTCAGTATTCTTGTATGATCTAGCTCACTGCCCGTTTTTGACTTGGTAAGACAGTGGTCTTGTTATTTAGACGATTAAGGCCTTCTGTAACCTCTCGGATGTGTCAAAGATTTGGTTGTTCTCATACATCTGTATACAGGTTACGCTAACTGCCCTAATTATGATAAAATATCTAGTACTTGAAGGATTGTTGTTTGAACCAAAACTGTCTCGGTGCTTATCTTGTAATGCTTTCGGATCAATTTCGAAGGAAGTTCCAATAAATTCGCTAGTCAATGGGAGAAAAAGGTATGGATTATTTTCACGCTGTATGCACGATAGTCTTCCGGGTCGCTGTCAGGTTTTTGCGGTTTGTGGGTACACCCCAAAAATGGAATGTCGTAGCGATAGTGGATGGACAAACATATGAAGTTCTTCCACTTTAAAAACAAGAAAATCTTACTGTTACACGTTTATGGTTCTTCAAAGATGCCTGGACGTCATAAATAGATTCTGGATATCTTACACTTCAAAGTGAATAAGTCACCTAGAATTGTCTGTGAAACGCGGCAGTTACCAAAATCTCGGCTGTTAAAGCTTGATGTGCTCTTCGGAATATCAATGATTTCGATTTATTGGGTCCACCATTGCCCCTCGGTCCATAAGAAAAACAGCATTTGATCCCGGTGTCCAGTTAAGGAAGCAAACCTGGATAAGAGGATGAATAATGATCAACTAATCAGAACAACTCTGACATCTTGTGTACTGTTGATTTCTGTTGAACATTGTGATCTTTACGTGAGATCAGCATCCAATATCTGACAGCATCCAGGCGGGGATCGAAAATTTGGTTTTCTCAGAGAGTATTCTCGACAGGTATGATAACTTCTATTTGTGCACTGCTGATGATGGCCATAACACAAATCAGAAGGTATATGCACTAATGAAGGTTTTTAGTATAGTTGACAATGGTGAGATGTCGCACGTATAGAAATGAATACAATGCGAAATCGGAGCAAGTCAAAAGAGGAACTTATCGTCTATGAGAGTTCCTTGGTGAAAGTCCGAACGGCGGGAACGTGGTTTCTCCTCAGTATGGCTGCTGCACGTATTCCATAATTGTCCGTGCGTGGACTTGTGGAGAATGGTTGACTTCCTGCTCACTGCGCGCGCGCCAGCGTGTGTTGTGCCGAGTTGTGCGCCTATTCATTGTGTGCAGTGTGAAGAGAGGGGTGTGATGAGGGGTGCTTGCACGAACATAATTACAACTTGACCTGATGTGTTTGAAGCTCGTAAGCGTTCATGGCGCGTGACGCGAGTGGTAGCCCAGTGAACGAAAATGGGTGAGAAGTTGTGGTGTACAAGTTGTCGGCTAAGGTTGCAGGTGGGACAGGAATTGTCACGTGGTTTGCGTGGTTGTGACGCTTGATCTGATGAGTGACCTCTACACTTCACACAGGCGCAACGACTGAATGTGGTGCACTATTCTGAAGCTAAAATCGAGAGCAGTTCCGAGTTAGGTTTCAATTAAGTGCGCCAAATAAACAGGGTAAATGGCTATCTAGTGTGTACCATCTGAGGCTTCCTATCTATGCTAACTGTCAAATTATTTACTTCTCACTGACAACTTGTTGCTAATTTAGCGTCCGGCGACAGACAACTCCACAATGTTAGGCGACCGATCCGATACGAGCGCACCTTCACAGAGCCAATTAGGTATGGGAAGCTCTAGCGGTTGGGTTTTTTCGGAAAAACATACTATCGTCAATCTTCATGCTAAGTGGTCTATTTGAAAAGTTATTTTAAAAACTTGGATCGATTTACACTTAGAAAAAAGCCACTTTTCTTTGTTAAGAGCGGACTCCGAGTGTCTCATTCACATTGGATCTAGGTAGTTTTTCTTTTTCTAACGGTAAGAAACCCAGATATTTCTGCTGGTTGTGGTGATATTTCCGCCATAAACTTAAACGTGAACAAGTAACTCAGATGGTAGCTGAAAGGCCTGATTTCTATGCTAAATGGCTACAAAATAACGGGATCGAATAGTACTGAGTTCAACAACATTATCCGGATGTTCTGAGAACCCGTTATTGGCTTTTGTTCCATCCTAGCCGAATTCACTGGTGATCATGCCTGCAGTGGCCGTAGTTTGCGCTCCCAACTCTTGGTTGAAGGACCATGTTCCTGCAGAGCCATTACAGTCAGCTATGAACAGGATGCCTTGCACGGAAACTACCGCATCCAGCATCACAGCTGCAGAATCCACTTCGCCTACGTTGTCTCGTATCCGAGCTGAATTGGAGCAGCTATCACGTTGGTTAACGGCTATAGCAAACTTTTCGGCGCATAGTCGAGTCAGGCTGGGTGATCGTTTTGATCAGGATACAATGAATAGTCAGTTATTGGTAAGTAATTTGAAACTGAGCTCATACAACTTTCTGCTTCTAATGGCTTCGTATAGCTTCCTGATCGGTAGGCACTCCTTTTTCATTGCAGAAACATCAGGTTCTACTCTGAAACCCTTTGGAAGCATGCATTCAAGTTCACCAATGCACCAACTGAATGAAAAAGTTTAGTAAACACTTTCACATGGAAAAAGGAAGGCTTTGATTCTCTGAAAGACAAAGAAACATGTTTTTCGAAAATGTCTGGTGACAATCGGTAGATTTATTGGCGGGCAAAGTTTCGCTTTGGACACAAAAGCTTCGTCAGACCAAGTGACTAGGTTCCGAGGTTGGTCAAAATTTAAGGCTGAAGTAGAACCAATCAGCCAAGTCAGGCTAAATCTCTGTTCGGTGTCGGTCGAGGGGTTTTAGTATGTTAGAGTGGTTGAACAATTGTTGGTTAACTTGGTTGGGAAATTTGCCCTGACAGAAAGAAGGAGAACAACTTTGAAATCCTCCTTATAGATCTTTTGTATGCGCCTGTATGCGCATCCCTGAGAAAGTGCGGTCCAAGGGTCTGAGATCAGAAATCTGAGCTAACTGGTCACGCTTTCCAGAGGTTCAAGTCTTTTCTGGCGTTTGGAAGAGTAAAACCTAAAACGGCAGCTGCCGTCCAAATTGCTCATGATAATAGATCTCATGTCAATGATGGGCAAATAAAAAAGTGGTAGACAGGAAACCCATTGTCACTCTACTGAATGATTTCTATGCTAAATGGCTACAAAATAACGGGATCGAATAGTACTGAGTTCAACAACATTATCCGGATGTTCTGAGAACCCGTTATTGGCTTTTGTTCCATCCTAGCCGAATTCACTGGTGATCATGCCTGCAGTGGCCGTAGTTTGCGCTCCCAACTCTTTGTTGAAGGACCATGTTCCTGCAGAGCCATTACAGTCAGCTATGAACAGGATGCCTTGCACGGAAACTACCGCATCCAGCATCACAGCTGCAGAATCCACTTCGCCTACGTTGTCTCGTATCCGAGCTGAATTGGAGCAGCTATCACGTTGGTTAACGGCTATAGCAAACTTTTCGGCGCATAGTCGAGTCAGGCTGGGTGATCGTTTTGATCAGGATACAATGAATAGTCAGTTATTGGTAAGTAATTTGAAACTGAGCTCATACAACTTTCTGCTTCTAATGGCTTCGTATAGCTTCCTGATCGGTAGGCACTCCTTTTTCATTGCAGAAACATCAGGTTCTACTCTGAAACCCTTTGGAAGCATGCATTCAAGTTCACCAATGCACCAACTGAATGAAAAAGTTTAGTAAACACTTTCACATGGAAAAAGGAAGGCTTTGATTCTCTGAAAGACAAAGAAACATGTTTTTCGAAAATGTCTGGTGACAATCGGTAGATTTATTGGCGGGCAAAGTTTCGCTTTGGACACAAAAGCTTCGTCAGACCAAGTGACTAGGTTCCGAGGTTGGTCAAAATTTAAGGCTGAAGTAGAACCAATCAGCCAAGTCAGGCTAAATCTCTGTTCGGTGTCGGTCGAGGGGTTTTAGTATGTTAGAGTGGTTGAACAATTGTTGGTTAACTTGGTTGGGAAATTTGCCCTGACAGAAAGAAGGAGAACAACTTTGAAATCCTCCTTATAGATCTTTTGTATGCGCCTGTATGCGCATCCCTGAGAAAGTGCGGTCCAAGGGTCTGAGATCAGAAATCTGAGCTAACTGGTCACGCTTTCCAGAGGTTCAAGTCTTTTCTGGCGTTTGGAAGAGTAAAACCTAAAACGGCAGCTGCCGTCCAAATTGCTCATGATAATAGATCTCATGTCAATGATGGGCAAATAAAAAAGTGGTAGACAGGAAACCCATTGTCACTCTACTGAACAAGCTCCGCCGAGATCTGTCAGATCTATTTTCTATTAAAACTAATGGATCTTTAAAAATGAACTTAAAACTATCCTGAAACGTAACTATAGCGCTGCTAGATTTGCTGAAGGGATTTCGAGCCCGTATCAGGCATTCATGTGGTACAACAGTCGTTCAACCCGATCCAATGGCCAAACTTTGTTGACGAATTACGTTTTATTCGAATTTCCCCAATGTAGTACTGTCAGCTAAAACTTTATTCATTAATGAGCAGCCGAAAACACAAGCGTTTTCCTCTCGAATTCTGCGAGATTATTTGGGCTAGTTTAGCCTACGCCTGTGCTGTCGAGTGTCGCTACTGCTGTCACAAAAACGCACGTGATTGGAAGATGGTTGTCCGGCTGACCATCAATGAATGCTCCTGACAGCGAGCAAATCAGACGGTAAACTGCCATGCTCGGAGAAACGAAATCCGATACCGAAGCTGTCAGAAAACAAATCATTACTAGCGTGATTTCTTTGTTACAGTTTATAGGTTTTCGTCCTTGTGTGTCTGGTTTAGTTTTGTCTGAATCCATCAAAAATTGCGTTACTCATTTCCGTCCTTCTATATTCGACAACCGGGTTTATCGAAAAGGCACAATGTGCCGTTGAGTTTCCTTTTGGCTATTTTATCCATGTTGTGGAAGGGATTCAAGATGCGATTTGCCGAAACTGTAAGCTCTGCACCCACTGGTTCTAAAACACAGGTGGAACTGATGGAATTACGTGTGCTTAACTTACCGACTCATCTTCCTTGTGTTTTAGCACGCGAAGCTCGTAACGAGTGAAGGCTCCCGGATGGATATTTCACAGATTTACCATCCAGCTGCGCTTCAACTCAAGATACAGGTGAGCCACCCATTGAACCTTTCTTCTAATTCTGACGTCGGTTAAAACTCTCATAGGTCAAGTAAATAAAAACAACTTATACTGTGCTGGATGAACAGAAACAGTTTCCATAGAAGTCAATATCTCGAATAAAGTGTCGACCCCGTGCCCGTGATCATTTCTGTAGACTGGGTTAATCTGCTCTAATGCATGTTAAACCACTCCTATGAAAAGCTAATAGCGAGCCTCGTATAATACTTAAGAAACTTGCGAGAAGCCTGAACACACCCCTAAGATACTGAGAACTGTGTTCCCGTATGGATGCTAGCTAACCAAAACCCTTCTTCCAACGAGTAATCTTGTTTGGGACAGTGTTTTCTGTTGCTTGCTAGCAACAATGCCTGATGAAGATGCATTTTCCAGAAGTTACGTAGAAGCGAATTTTCCAAAATGTTTCCCCATCTAATGACCGAAGAATTCAACTGGACATATCAGTTGTCCATAAATGGCGATTCATTTTTTACAAAACGTCCAACAACCGAAAGAATCAGCTATTCTGCGCATACATTTTCTGGGATAACTCTAAATGCCTGTCAGCAATAAAAGTAGAAATTACCTGGTGGCGTTTCCAGCTATATTGTTATCAAAACCCAAGGGTGCTATTATGATATCGTTTTGGAAACGAACAACACCACTCAGATTTCCTCCGGCTCACTTTCTGTTCCCCGCTCTCTTCAGGCATGTGACACCAAATTCTGGCTCGGTGGGAGGAATTAATTCATTGAAAACATAATGTTTTAGCGTCAAACTATTTTAGAGTTATGATCATTCGGTTGAAATCGTCTGTCAAAATTCTCCATGAATGTACCTGCCGCAACTGGGGCAATTAATCAGACATTGCAACTGAACGTACACAGCCTATTCAGAGAATGCATGGGATTCAAGGATGTCTTTATTCCTGACAGCGACTCATCTACCCCCGCGCTACTTAGCTATTTTTAGGGATTTTTCTCGTGCTTAACAAAACTCGAAAAGACACCATCGTGCTCCAGTTGGTTTTGAAAAGTTTCTCAGGAATTCGTTCGTTACATTTTTTTTTCTACACGAGGGGATCAGGATTTGTCTACCACATGCCCTTGCTAGTAAACTTGCCACATCCAATGCCTCTGGTCTTCCAAACTGACACGTCCTGTTCCTTCAAAAGAGAGAATCGGATGCTGAAAGTTATAACCGTTTTGGAGCAATTTAGGAAGCGCGCTAACAATGTGATCCAAACTAGTTCCAAAAGATCTGTTTGCGGAGTCTTGGGGGTAAGCTAAAGCTCATATTTACACCAAGAAATTATAAAAAAAACAGTAGCTGCACTTGAGCTTTGCAAGAATGGCATGATAACATTAAGCATTTCATAGGGCCTGGGTGACCACGAAAAATCCACAAATGAATGAGGCGAAAACGAATGTGGAGCTCAACCATCAATTTGTTTCGCGATTTTTTCGCTAGTTACTATACCAAAATAAAAATAAATTTCAACCTAGTGTGTGCAAACGAATTACAGTAACTGTTTCAGAGACTGCTTTGGATTAATATGACCTGGAAGTTCTATTGGGCCGTAAAATAATCAGTTTATGAAAAATGATGCTTGTAGTAAAGATACCAACGAATTCTTAGCAAAGCGCCACAGGCTTTTAAATGTATAATCAGAAACCGTTGGACTATCCAATGTGAATGTAACTGGTCCGGCATTTGTTTACTGTATATCACAAAATGGAGTGTCAGCCGTCTAAAAGACAGATTTATCGGACGGTCATTCATGTTTGTTTTCCACCAGAATTCTGACAGATTGGCTCCTCCGACTGTCAGTTATCAAACGATGTTTCCCACGCCTCATATTGTGTCGTCTATCAACAGCCAACACACACAAGCATGAATATAAATTTCAGTTCTGCGCATTCTACCAGTACAAAACGCGCTTTTCTTAAAACGCCCTCAAAGAATTTTAGGTGGATGTGTTCAGAAGAAAAGGTGTGTGCCCAAGAGATGATTCGCCTAGCTGATGTGTGATATGACGATGGGTGCTCAAACCGCTCACGAACAAAAACAAAATAAATGAAACAGCTCATCATGAACAGAACAACGCCTTGTTTGCAAATCAATCATGTATTCGCCAAAAATATCGCAAAAGTAACTCTGAAACAATCCCTTACCCCGGGGTTTTACGAAGACTCTATTCCAAGAAGATGTTTAAAATAATCAGCGAGTAAGTATATAAATGAATAAACAAATAAATAATTAAAATTCGTGTACAGATTTCACTGCTCAAATTCATGGCATTTTTGTTCGTGGTATGAAGCAAGGAGGAAAAACAAAGAAGGACAAATTAATTTGCTTTGCTGATTCTCTGAGCGCACGAAAAGTTAAGATGGCGCATTATCTAGAAAAATGGCACTGGGTTGATTCATGAGCTTATCGTAAGCAGCAGCGCGCACTGGATCCATATGGACCCCGTCTAGGATTGCGGTCAAAGTTCCTAATATGCCAACTAAAATGAAGGAGTACCAGTCATGATTATCTGGCTTACAATGGCAAACACAGTTACTCTTCAGTACAGTGACAGAAATACAAATCGTGGGTGACTGCACATTCATCTCAACATGTGTCTGTAGCACTCCTTGCTGCAGACTTTGAAGAGGCTAGGCGAAGTGCCTAGTATTGGGGTGTTGAGGATCCTGGTACGGAATTTTGAGTCGCGCGTAGGTTTGGCGACCCCGAATAGCAAAAGTAAGGATTAGGTCAGAAAGTCTACGGTATTAGTTGCGCAGAAGTGGACAAAATTCTGCAACAATCCTTCGTTGTTCAAGTTCGTGGTATTAGCAGCTGCGGAAGTCTGTCACTGACCGGCACATTGTAATGTCAAGATCCGCACACCAGAAAATAGCGACCTGAATTTTGGCTCAGCAGTGTGGGCAGCGGCCGTCTCGTGATTCTGATTGGCGGTGTGATCACACGGAAATCCTATAGAACGAGTCAGGGCAGTCTCAGCAGACGGGCACGAACACGTATTGGTAAATAGGTCACAGTGACGTGCTAACATGCCGGGGCCGGATGCGGTGTCCTTTGTGGAGTATTGAAAGACGGGTGCGGAGGTGTATAAGCCGACATGAGCAGATCATAAGCACACTGGCGGAATGGACAACTAAATGAGGGTATTATTATGGCATGTCTGATTGAATATGGAGAAAAGAGAATGGACCAGAAATTCTGAAGCAGGTGCACACGACCACATGATGGCGTCATCAAATGGGTACAGTACCATTGACTAGTCATTCACATTCACTCGGAACCAACGAATTTTCAGCAACCTTATGAGTAGCGCATTACGAATAAACATGTATCGCGATATCTCGAATATCGTAGCGACTGAAACATGAGGCGTCTTGGTGCAGCACACTCTGTTGCCTGGAAACATCACATTCAGCTGGGTTCCAGGCGAGTCTCTCGCAAAACCAAATTTGTTTGCAAATGAGTGTATTTCGCTAAGCTTTCAGTGTTTCAAGAGAACCTCCCACAAAATAGTCGGTTAAACCATGTGGCTCTGCTAGATTTGATTGCTTTTGCTACCCACAAATCATCGTTTTTATATCAGAAGGTTAACAAAATTTCACCACACTATTTGTTTGCTTGTGAATACTGAACTGCAGTTTGATTAGGATTGCACACCTGTCCTGCAAATGGTCAGACCAGGAAGCTGACGAAGAAATTTGAGACCAACATATGTTGGTCGCTTTAGTTCACTGCAAATATTTGGATGGCGAGGGAGACAAAAATCACGGCGGAAAACAACAACCGAAAACATTCTGCTAAATATTCGCGCAAATTAGACTGCGAACTACACTCATCTGCAAACCAATCTGACTCTAACGGAAGATCCAAAGGCAGCACATTTATATACCTGGCCTATTTTATTCCTCAAGTGAATGCGCTGCAAAAAGGGCATATCATGTTTCATCTAGCACAATATCCGAAATATTGAAGAAAACTACTCACAAGCTTGTTGCAAGTGGTTCCATGGCCCACAAACGGCTTCGCCTTTCTTGTGGCTCATCGTATCAAATGACTTTGTTCAGCACATTCGTTTTGAAGAATACAATAAGTGAGATATTCCTGCGAAATTCAAATGAGTTTCCCATCAAAGCCCATTTCGTGTTGCGCATATTTCGTGAAACAATCTCAGAGAGTGCGCCTACTTGATGAGAACCATGGAGACCGAGACCGGTAGTGGGTTGTCGATGATTTTTTAGCAGCCTTGTGAGTAGTTTCACTCAAATCACATTTTAACTCAACTCCATTTAAAGGCCAACCAGATGGGATCCTCTTTGTAAACGTAGACACTTTTCATAGGAACCGACAACTAGTTGTTTAAGGCAAACAACTTCCGTAGATTTCCTTGTTTGAAGTGGAGTTTGTGATGCTTGACATCTTCAACAAAGGACATCCGATTGGAGTCTACTTCGAGGTAGGGCAAAAAGCGGAAATATGACCTTAGCGTTCGTCATTAGTGTGCGCTATGGGAACCAATTAACGAACTGTTTTGAAGTCCTTAAATAATGAGTCACTCAGCATGTGCGACGAGGCATCAGACCGTCTGTGCCGACCACACATCCCCTCAAATAAGATCAACAAAAGTGGCAGACAAAGAAGTAACTAAACTGACTCACTGATATGGTCGGGGGTTTCATGAGAATAAGTGCTGTTTGAAATATTACCCTATTCAGTGCCTAAACGCACTGTCATAAGCTTGTGAGTGATCCATCAGTATAGATGGCTCTGTTAAAATGCAGGACTGGTGAGGTAGTAGACTATATATATATATA